CAGTCAGAAACGCGGGAGGGTGAGAGAATTCACCAGAGCCAGAGCAGGGAGCAGAGCAGGCAGAAGGACCGAAGTACACTGCTGAGGGGAGCAGCGGGCGGCAGGAGAGGTCTGCGCGCCATGTGGGACCCTCCTCCGGTGGCCGGGGAGCAGCCGGGGATCGAACCGGCGCCGCAGAGGCCGCGGGCAGCCTCGCAACCCAGCGCTCAACCGCTGCGCCACCGGGGAGGCCCCTGTTTCCTAGTTTTTATTAAAGTTCCTTCCAATTAAAGTGTCATATGTTTTGTGTTGATGCGGCGGATGGCAGAACCCATTTAGAATAGGCAGGTTTGCGGGGTTTGGGCTGCCCCTCTCCCTGTCCTATAACATAATCACCATTTTTTTTTTTTTTTTTTTTTATTTTTAGATTTATTTTATTTATACAAGCACTGGGTACAGTCAGAAGCGCGGGAGGGTGAGAGAATTCACCAGAGCCAGAGCGGGGAGCAGAGCAGGCAGAAGGACCGAAGTACACTGCTGAGGGGAGCAGCGGGCGGCAGGAGAGGTCTGCGCGCCATGTGGGACCTTCCTCCGGTGGCCGGGGAGCAGCCGGGGATAGAACCGGCGCTGCAGAGGCTGCAGGCAGCTTCGCAACCCAGCGCTCAACCGTTGCGCCACCAGGGAGGCCCTAATCACCATTTCTTTTTGGTGATGAGAAAATTTAAGATCCACTCTTAACAACATTCAAGTATAAAACACAGTGTTGCTGGATAGAATCACTATGTTGTCCATCAGATTACTAGAATTTGTTAATTTTATAAGTGGAAGGTTGTACTTTTGACAATAGCTTCCATTTCGCCTAGCAGCAGCCCCTGCTGACCACAACTCTAAGGTCTGTTTCTCAGAGTTCGGCCTTTTTTGATTTCACCTAGAAGTGAGATTCTGTAGGATTTGTCTTCTTCTCTGATTTATTTCACTTACAAAATGTCCTCAAGATTTCTCCATGTTGCAGCCAAGGGCACGATTTCCTTTGCCATGACCGAACAGTATTCCATTGCATTCCGTTAACATTTAATGTAGTTTTTGATAGATTTCATCTTATTCTTTTGTTTCCTACTTGACTCCTGTTTTTGTTGTTGTTGTTGTTTTGTTTTTTGGTTTTGTTTTTTTTTTGTTTTTGTTTTTATATTTTGGCTTTGTCTGCTCTTCTTGCCTTTCAAAATTATCTGAATACTTCATAGAACTTGTAAAAGAGACCCAGCCAGGACATGATCTAGCTCTCATTGTCATGTAGTTTTCTCAAATAATGCCCATTTCAAGTAACTGCTTTCTTCTAGGTGACTCCATATCTTATCATTCCTAAATATTGAAATTTAGTGAAAAAGCCCACCCAGGTGGCACCTTTGTCCCTTATAATCCCTCATGACTGAAGAGGATGGGAGTGGTGCAGGCAGGGGCCCTGGAGACTGAGCTTAGCAGTTGGGGTCCAAGGGTGGGGGCTGGAGGGGCAGCCTCAGAGTCTGGTCTACGAGGAATGACCTCTGGTGGCAGAGAGAGATAAGAACGCAAAGGACCCTCTGAGGAAGGTGTGTTTCTCTCTGGTTCCCACAGCTCTGCATCAGAAGGGAACCCTACCTGTCCACGTATTTATAATGCAGGCGTTTATAACGAGCACTGACAATGTCCCCAGCCCTGATACCCGGGGAGTCAGATATAACAAGGTTATAGGTCTGGGGGGAAGTAATGGCTTCATGAGAGTTTATAAGAGATAAATCTGTCTGATACTGGGAGTGGGACCCATGAAAGGATGGTGTCCCCCAAGAAGTGATGTTAGGTCTGGACATGAAGAAAGAGAAGGAGATAACTAGGAGAAGAGGATGAAGCTCCCAGGCAGAGGGACCAGAATGTGCAAAGGCCCTGGGGCAGAGAAACACTGAAAGGAGTGATGTGACTGGAGGGTTCAGTGTGGCTTCCTGCGTTCATACTATTGGTGCTGCGACCAGAATGGAGATTTTGTCTGGGCCATTACTGACTTCCCAGCATCAACCATGGTGACTGGTACGCAGGAAGCACTCAGCATAAACGCTTGACCCCTGATAGGTCACTTATAGGTGGAGTTTTTCTTTCTTTCTTTTTTTTAATAGTAGTTTTTTTTTTTTAAAGATTTATTTTTATTTATTTATACAAGCACTGGGTACAGTCAGAAGCGCGGGAGGGTGGGAGAATTCACCAGAGCCAGAGCTGGGAGCAGAGCAGGCAGAAGGACCGAAGTACACTGCTGAGGGGAGCAGCGGGCGGCAGGAGAGGTCTGCGCGCCATGTGGGACCCTCCTCCGGTGGCCGGGGAGCAGCCGGGGATCGAACCAGCGCTGCAGAGGCTGCGGGCAGCTTCGCAACCCAGCGCTCAACTGCTGCGCCACCGGGGAGGCCCTAGGTGGAGTTTTTCAATAAACACAGTTGGTCCTCCAGAAGGGAACCCTACCTGTCCCGTTATTTACAATGCAGGTATTTATACTGAGCATTGACAATGTCCACAGTTCCTGTATTCACAGATGTTGGCTGACTGCATCCTTGGCTATAGACTAGACTGCCAAGCATAGAATAGACTGCTTGAGCATCCATGAATTTCAGTATCTGCAGGAGATTCTGAAACCAATGATGACAGTTAAGTTTTGGCGGAGTCAGTTACACATGGCTTTTCAACTGGGGGGTGGGGTGGTCACCACCCCTATGCCCTTGTGCTGTTCAGGGTCAAGTGTATTTGTTGGAAGAATGAATGCCTGACACTTCCAGAGCTCTCACTCTGTGCCAGGCACTGTGCTAAGGGTTGCCTCTGCATTCCCATTTAATCCTCAGAACAGCCCTGTGGCAGGTCTGACTGGTATGCCCATTTCAGAGGTGGGGAAACTAAGGCACAGAGAAGACACATAAGCCACCAAGGCTAAACTCAAGGAAGGAGCAGACCAGCACCCAGGCATCCTGACCTCGATACCTCTTTGCAGGCAGGGCCTGCACCTTTGGGTTCTGAAACTGCAGGCCCTTTGTGGCCCTCCAGGAGTGAGCCCAGCCCTCTAACTGCTCCCTGCCCTCTGCTCTCTCCTCCTGCCTGGTTTGCCTTCTCTTTGCCCTGTTTAATTTTTAAATCGCACACACCCTGGGACATCCCCATGTTACTGACCTACTTACTTATCCAGCCATCTTTCTCACACATCAGGGGCAGTGGTGGGAAGCCCAGGGGGTGTCTGGAAGGAAGGCGGGAGGTGGAGAGAGTGGGGAGCCTCCAGCGCCACTCTGGGGCTCTGAGCAGTGTCTTTGACAAGGAATCAACATTAATAAAATGAGGAGGATCTAATACCAAGAGATGGTGGCGGGATAACATTATTCCAAGTGACTTTCCAACAAAATAGCTCCTGAATCTTCTGCAAAATGCCCTGGCCATGTCAGGGGTGTCCGTCTGCCCTTTCTTTATAAAATGGAGGCACTTAGAAATCAGTGGTGGATTCATCCCTTGGTAGTGAGTGAGGATCAGGCTCAGGAGCAGCTACAAACAGGCCCTGTGCTGACTTCCCCATCCGGTAAGCAGCCTCCAGGGCTGAAGCAGGCAGGGGAGAGGGACTACTGCACACGGAGCTTTCTGGAAAAAGAGCCCTAGACTCTGGTGTCTCCTGTCCAGGGTGTGGGTAATCCTTGAGGCCCTGGACCCCGACTATAAGGCCTGGGGCCTTCACACCCCCATACCCACTGTGGGTGACCCTGGGAGATGTGCCCTTTCCGGGGTTTCCCTGCCTCGGTCTTGGGCAGAGCCAAGGATCCCAGGGAAAGACCTCGCATGGGCGGGAGGGTGAGGGGCACAGGGTGGCTACTGAGGATTAGGGTCAAAATAAGGGGGGTGCAATTGTATGGGGACTATAACCAAGATGAAAACGCATACATTGTGCAAAAATGCAAAATGATGTAAGAATGATATAAAATAAAATATTTTTTAAAGAAGGAACAGCAATTCAATTTAGACAGGACAGTCTTTTCAACAAGTGCTGCTAGGACAACTGGACATAAAAAAAAAAGAGGCGTCTGTGCTGGCCCCCAGCTCTCCGCAGCCCCCGCGCCTTCGCGCCCAGCCCCGGGGACAGCGAGGCTCAGAGAGCAGCCCCGGCCACCCCTGATTCCTGGCTGTGGCCCGGACCCTTCACCGGGGTCCTCGATCCCTGGCTCCGGCACCCCTGGCGCCTTCCGTCTGCTCCCCGGTTGCTCCCCCCGGCCCAGGTGCGCTCGGGGCGCTCGGGGGGCTTAGGACCCGGCAAGTCGGGGTCGGGGCCCCGCAGGGCGGGCGGGGTCTGGCGGGGGGCCGAGGCGCGCGGCGGCCGGGCGGGGCGGGGAGAGGCGGCCCCCAGCCCTGCTCCGGGAAGCTCGGGGCGGGCGGAGACCTGGGCGCCCCCGCCCCGCGCGCCCCCCCGCGCCCCCGCCCGCCGGCCGTGACGTCAGGGCCGGAGCGGGTAAACTGAGCGCGGGGCCGCGCGGGGCGGAGATCGCCGCCGGGAGCCGCCCGGACGGACGCAGCCCGCGCTGGAGAGGCCGGCGCCGCAGGCACCCCGAGGTAGCGCCCACCCCGCTTCTGGCCCGGGGACGCGGCGCGGGGGGAGATCGCCCGGGGGCCTGGGAGAGCGGGCTGGACGGGGCGCCGGGGGAGCCCCCCAAAGCGCGCGCGAGGCTGCGGGCGGCCCAGCACACACCCGGCCCGGAACGCGGGGCGCGGACCCGGAGGCTCGCGCCCAGCGCGCAGGCGGAGACGTGCGACCTCGGGGTGGGGGGCCCGGGAGCCGGGCGCAGCCCCGCAGCCCCAGGTGCGCTCCCCGACGGCGCCGCGGGCTGGCTTGGCGGGAGCGCAGGTGCCGGCGGGGCGCGCTCGGGCAGGTGCGCCAAGGAGGGGGCGCCGGGACCGCCCGCCACCGCCTGGGCGCGCGTCTCCCCGACGGCGCCTGCCGCGCCTCGCCAAGTCTGAGACTGGAGGTGGGTTGGGGAGCCCCCGCGCCCGCGAGCCCCGGCCCCTCACCGCGCGCTGCCCCCAGAGCCATGGCCCTGGGCGAGTGGGCGCCGCTGCGCTGGCTGCGGGAGAGTCGCCACTCGCGGAAGCTCATCCTCTTCATCGTGTTCCTGGCGCTGCTGCTGGACAACATGCTGCTCACCGTCGTGGGTAGGTGCGCGGGGTCGCCCCTCGCCCGCACCCCTTCCCGGGCGCCCCGGCCCGGGGGAGCTAGAGAATAGACTTTGCAAATACACACACCCCAAGAGCGAGGCGCCCGGAGAGTCGGAGGCCCCTCGTGGCTTCGTTTTCCTGGTGGTCGGGTCAAAAAATGTGACATCCCATGAGACCCAGAACTTCTGTTTCCTTCTGATAATTCCCTGCCTCCCCGAGCCTTCTTTCCTGGCGGTGAGGGATTTGTGTGGACGAAGAGCAGTTGTCAGGCGTCAGCATAATCTTATAGGAAATATTATGCCACCCAAAAAGGTGGGATAATAAAGGGGTGTAACACCTGACGGAACAAGTAGTTACCCCCGCCCCCCCAAAAAAAAGGCAGTGACACGAGCTGGAAACCCACTTCAAAGGCAATTTCAACACTGAGGGGTGTTGCCTTTTTCCTAGGATTTTTTTTTTCTTTTTCATTTTTTTATTTTAACATTTATCATTTTTTACATTTTTTTAGACAATATTTGCTTCCCCCCACCCCCTCAGATGGAGCCCCCATAGAACCTCCTTCCCCAAGGCACCCGGGCACCAGCCCCTCAGCCCCCTGTGGCCTCCCTCCCTCCCTCGGATCCCTCTCCCACCTCCCCCCCTGCAGGATGGCTCTGGTTTATCATTGTCTGTTTTTGCTTGTACTGTTATTATTATTTTTTTTTTACACTGATGTCTTATTGGGCTCCCCTGTATTCCTGTGACAAGTGAAACCATCCCATATTTTTCTTTTTCCTTCTGGCTTATTTCACTGAGCATCATTCTAGGATGGTTTTTAATTTTAATTTCAGCATTGAAATCTCGGGCTTTAAATGAGCCCCATCAACAGCCAAGTGTCTGGGGGGCTTCTCCTTAAAGATCCCCAATTTCAATGAAGTGATTTTTTTTTATTTGGACAAGCAATGGGGTGGCTTGTTTCAGTCTTTCCTTAGCGGGGTTCTCCCTCAGAAGTCTCCAGCGCCTCACCTGGGGAGGTTTCCTTCCCCAGGACGGTCAGGGCTGTGGAGCTCATTGAGTTTGGTAAGAGAAGCCCTTCTCCTGTGTGGGGAATGTTCTCTGCTACACACCCCCAAAGTTTCTATTACGGCCATTTTTCTTTTCCTTTACGAAACTCTGAGGAATCCTGAGACCCTCCAGGTTGTGTGACACAGATTCCGACTCAGATCATAAAAGGTGAAGTAGGGCAGTTGCAGAATTTCCAAATTACTGCTGCTTGCAAGTTTATTTTTTTCTAATGAGATTTAGGTTTCTATTTGCTTGATTCCTGCACTGGACAGTCTTTGAGCCTCTTTCGGAGATGCTCTGGTCAGCCCCGGTCGGCCTTGACCAGACGTCAGCCCACATTCTGCTTCCCTACAATCCCCCCGGAAGGCCCCTGCCAGGAGAAGCCGGGTGTGGGGTGGGCAGCCCTGGCCAGGGTAGCGGGGGCTCATAGGGGACGGCTGCCCTTGTTCCCTCCAGTGAGCTTAGGGGCTGCCTGGTGCCGGAGTCCCGTTCCTGGGCCCCTGATTGGCATTTGAGGTGACCACCGTTCAGCTGACTTTTGTCCCGGGGAGGGTTCGGTGCGGTCACTGCCGCCTTCCTGTTGTGCTCCTGCTCGCAGTCCCCATCATCCCGAGTTACCTGTATAGCATGAAGCATGGGAAGAACACTACAGAGATCCAGACCGCCAGGCCCGTGTTCACAGCCTCCACCGCGGGCAGCTTCCAGAACATCTTCTCCTATTATGACAACTCCACCATGGCCACTGGCAACCACACTGGGGAGCATCAGGGGGGGCTGCTGCCTAGGGCCACCACGCAGCACCCGGTGACAAACACGTCTGCTGCCCCTTCCGACTGTCCCAGCGAAGACAAAGAGCTCCTGAATGAAAACGTGCAAGTGGGCCTGTTGTTCGCCTCGAAAGCCACCGTCCAGCTCCTCACCAACCCGTTCATAGGGCTACTGACCAACAGGTATGCGGTGTTATTTTGGTCAGAGGGTTTTATAGGTACCTGCTTCTGAGCTGATCCTCCCACCTCCTGCTGTGTCTCCACCCGGTGTCAGAATCTGGAAAGCCAGTGGTGGGGGAGCCGGGGAAAGCCAGTCTCCTTCCCCTGTGTCTGTGACCCTAGTTCATCACGATTTCTTGTTCCATTTTTTTCACTGTGGGATTGGGTGTGCCATGGGTGTCTCCTCCACCTCTGGTCTTGCACTTCCTTAGAGAACACCAAGGCAATTTCCTTTAGGGCTGGCCCGGGGGGAGGGGAGACCCAAGTAGGTGGCTGGGTGGGGAACATGGAAAAGATGGGTCATCCTGCTGTGTAGACAAAACTTGCTAACGCTGATGCCAGGGACCATGAGGCAGGTTTCACCAGCCAGGTACGAGCTGTGTCCTTGTGCCCAAAGGGAAGAGAAATGAGCCTGTCCTCTGGGTAATTCAGGTTTCCCAGACCAGCCTTATATGAATATGGAAGTGCTGGATTTTTTGTTCTTGGACCCACGTTATTTTGAGTAATGGTTCAAGCCTCCATTGTTGCTGTCCACCCAGCAAGCACCAACTCTGCCTGGTACTTGGGGGTTGAAAGCACAGGCAGAGCCAATAAGATGCCAACTGCAGAGGTGGTCGGCTGCACACAGTGTAGTCCCAGGGGCAGAAATGTACAAACTGGCATAGAGGGGGCAGAGTCCTACCTGTTCCCAGACCTAGCAGCGGAAACAGCAAAAGCCTAGAGCTGGAAAAGAGGGGCTGGAAAGGAGGCTGGGGCTATGGGGGTCGGGATGGTGAGGCTATAAGGAGCCCCGAGTTCTAGGTAGAGAGTAGAGTCAGGGGCGGGGTTGTTGCCAGACCATTTGGAAGCCACTGGAGGTTTCCAAGCCGAGCCGGAGGGCCCGGGAGCCAAGCAGCCTACGTAGCCTGGGAGCAGGAAGGTTTTCCCATGTTCCAGACTTCTGGCCTAGGGAAGGGGCAGCAGGGCCCTTTGATCAGGCATGAGTCAGCATTTCAAGATGGCAACAGCAGGGCATTAAGCCAAGCTGGGGGCCCTCCTGAGAGTGGGACCAGCTCTGGAGCATGGGGAAGACTGTGCGTGTGAGGCCAAGGCATGGAGACAGTCCAGATCTGGCTTCCCCAGCGCCAGTTGCCCCCCGACACTCACAGGTGCTGCTAACATACCCACTTCCAGTTGGGGGGAAACACATTTTAAACTTTGCAGTTTGAATTTCTGGATGCAGCAGGATCTCTGAATCCACTTTAACAATCCCAAGCCATATCCCGTCCTCTAGTCTGCACCGAGAGATATGACAAGCCTGCCACAGAAAACGGGCTATGCAAATTAGTCCAGAATTGGGGGCCTGATTGTGAGCCCACCACAGAAGCCCCACTATCACAGTGACATTCTCGGAGCCTCTGTTCTTCAAGAGGAAAACCAAGCAGACCTCAGAGCCTGCAGGATTGCTGTCCTCTTTGCAAGACTAAGAGTGTGTCTTAGATGCATCTGGTGTAATTATAGCAAACAACTCAGGGTTTTGTATTCTGAGAAAGCAAATAACTCAGATACTGTAAGTGAAAATTGAGGACATTATGGTAATAATGCCTTGCCAGTCATGGGCTGTGCAAAGGTCATGCTAGACCCGCAGTGTGAGAGTGAAAACGGGGCTGAAACGATGTATTTCAGTCTTCCAAATGCAGACAGAAAATGAGCAAGCTTTTTACGAAGCCCATTTTTATGTTCTGTGCTTAGCAGAAGCCCCTGGGAGGAAGTGCTCTGAAAACCAGTCACACCATCTCCCTGTTAAATACATGAGGCTTTGACACTCAGCCACCACGGCTCCAGAAAATCTTGTCTTCCAAGAGAAACCTAATTTTGTTTTGTGGCCTGTAAAATTTAGTCTGTTCCTATGTTGAGCCATCTACTTTGAAATTTATTCAGAGCAAAATTTTAATGCCTGACTGGTTCCCTCATCCACCCAGCAAATTTCAAGATAGCTCTTAGCTCCTGGCACTCTCTTGTAACCTGGAAATGCAAACAGATTTTAATATTGATGTGAGCAGAAGTGTTGCGCGAACTCTGTGGTCCCTCCAAAATGATCATGAGGTGTCATTGTTCTAAATATTTCCCAGGCCCCTTCCACATGAGGCTGGAGACTCGCCACTTTTCTGGGTACCCCAAGGCTCTGCTTGGAGAAGCGATAAATACAGTCCAATTCCTTTTCCAGAATCTGCCCCGTGAGCCTTTGCAAATAGTCTTTTGATGTAATTTGTGCCAATCACATCCTCAATTACTGACAAGATGTGTGACTCACGTTCTCAGTGTTGTAAACAAGTGTGTTGAAGACAGCGTTTTGCAGCGGGTTAATATGTTTCCCATCAAAGAGTAGCTCAAACCTCACGTGCTCGCTGTTGTAAACCAGTGTGTCTAAAACAGCATTTTAAAGCGAGTTAATGTGTTTCTGATTAAAGAGTCATTAAAAATACGGTGCATCAGAGCTGGGAGAGCCCTCCACCAAGGCTTTGGTCCAGTCCTGACATATCACAGGGGAGGAAAGTCACAGAGTTGTTGGCTATTTTTAACCAATGGGCAGGGAGTTTAGAAAAAAATTCAGCCTGGCTTTGGCCATGAGCCCTCCTTACCTCCCTGGACCTGCTGCCCAGCATCTCTGCAGTGCTGGCGACAGTGGGGAAAAGAAAGGACCCCCCCCCCGCTCCCCAAGAGCTGGGGTGCTCCCTAGGTCTCAGAGGCAGGCTGCCCAGTGCCGCTCCTTCCTGTCCTGCCACGAGTGGGACCCACTCTGAAAGGCGACGCCTGGTGTCACACACCTGAACCCGTCTTCCAAGCTGGCCCCCCACATGCAGGCACATGCTGTCAACTGAGCAGCTTTTGTGGGCGGCTGGACCAGGAGGCAAGCTGCCCATGCTGTTTTGAACATGGAATAAGCTTTCATGCAAACCCAGGAAATCAACCTCCTGGGGGGTGTTGAAGGCCCCTCACCGGCCATTCATTCTCGGTTGATTTCTGCTTCAGTTGCTGGATTTTTACTGAGCACGATGGGACAGGCCAGGAGCAGAGGTCATGTCACTCTGGCGAGCGCAGTGCTCACGTGTCCACTCCCACGCTTTCCAGAGCTGGTGCCGTGCTGTCCTCCGGGAGGGCTCCTGGGGCTTACTTTATTTTCCAGATTAACTTCCTTTCGCGGCTGCAGTGGTGTGTGAAAAGGGAGCAGAGGGAATTAGACGAGCAGCACCAGCATAGCTTGGTCTGGACGGTGAACTCTTAGATACGCACATGAGAAGAATGTTCCAGGCAGCTCAGCACCGTGGCCCCACCTCTGCCTTCTCTGCCATGAGCCAGGTTGCTAAGAACGTGCATCACGGGCTTCACTGACCTCACCTGAGGCGGACACAGGGTGGCATCTTTAGACCCAGAAGCTCCTTTCAGCGAGCGGCAGCCAAGGAAGGGTTAAGTCGGGTGCCGGTGGCTTCCTCCTCGTCTTGTCATTGTCTCAGTGGTCTGCTTTTTCTCAAGCAGCATCAGTGGCTTAATTTATTTCCATAGTTACCTAGTATATTTGAAAGCCAGTTATTTTTGCCTCAGAATCTTAGCTAACATCTGAACGGCCAGGAGGAAGCCAGAGGGCATGAAATCTCTACGAAATCTACTGTGGCGGTTTTTTTTTCCCTCCAGCTTCTGCCTGTGGGTTTGCAGTAGGCTTTGCAGGAATAAGCAGTGACCTTTTCAGCATCTCTGCAGACAGGGAAACCAGCTCTTCTGGAAAGGGTCCTCCCGTCCTCGAGGTCGTTAGCATGCTAGATCTGATGTGAGGAGGTTGGCTTCTGGAACAGAAGAAGAAGCTGGCAATGGAACTGGGCATTTCTCATGGGGGCAAAGCCCCTACCTGAGCACCAGGGAATAGGGGTAACATGTGGGGACCCTAGCTCGTGTGAAATTTTCTATTGCCTGAGACTCATTTACTGCGCCACCTTTTAGGAGCATGTTGAGATCATGGAAGAGGGGGCCGTCACCTCTCGTCTCGTCTGCTGGTAGTTTGTACCCCGAGGGGCTCCCCCTCTGTGTCCTCGCTTTTGTCACTGACCGTGGCACAGGGGACCCCATCTTAGCACGCCTGCGGATGGAGCTGGCATCAGGCCGAAGACAAAGATAAGCTAGTTGCTAGCTTTAGAGAGAGCGTGTGATGGTCAGGGGAGATTCAGGGCCACAAGAGGCTTTTCCGCTTTGTACGTTTTTCTAGGAATTCAATATATGACTTTGACTCTTGTTCCAGTTGAATTAACGGCTCCCTGAGGCGCTAGCAGGGGGGCTGACCGTGGGCTGCATGACTCACAGGCCTGGGTGGTGGCTGTTCCGTTAGCAGGTCGCCACATCAGATCTAGCTCTTCTGAGCAAAACCTCCACCGCGGTGGCATCGGCTGAGGCAGTGGCCGCGGTCGGCATTTGTGACGGATGTCAGCTGAGTTTCCATCCGTGTGTGACATTATGGGGAGACTAGGACACGGGCGACCTGCCCACCACTCAGTGACCTGGTGGACCACCCACCTTCTGGGGTGTGTGGTCAGAGCCAGAGGAGGGTGAGGGCTGCCTGCATGTTCCACTGAGCACCCAGTCAGTGCTGGGCCTCTGGAAAGTGTCAGGCACTTGTGTCCAAGGAGAAGGAAACAGTGGAGTCCAGGGCTGCCCACTGTTCTCGGTTTGTTCCACGCCCGTGGGGGAGCTGCCCCATCTCCATCTGCAAAAGTTGCTGAGAACAATGAGCTGCCCCCGAGCAGCTGGAGGGTTCCTTGTTCAGCAGGCCTGGCGCCGTGCAGGACCGCGCCGTGCATGGGCCTCTTGTGTCTACGAGAATAAGGAGCACAGAGAGGCAGCCGCAGGGGCGTGGAGACAAGAGCATCCCCAGTATCTCTCTTGGTTCACCCGACGGGCTTCAAGCCCCCTTTGTGAGTTACAGCCTCACCCCAGGTCCCCACCAGTGAGTCTTTGCCTGGGTTTACAGAGGGGGTCTGCCTGGAAGTCTGCGACTGGGAGATGCTGCTTTTATCTTTAGTATTTGTTCTCTGAATGCACATGATGTAGTTCAAAATAAAAATAGGAGCATGACCGGGAGAACTTTTGGAAAGGTTCTGGTTGAACCGCCTGAAAGCTTCTAGTGCCCTTTGACTACCTGGTGGGCTGGTAAAATTTGCAGGGACAAGCCCTAACCTGGACAGAAAGGCCTCCAGTGAAATTAGCCCTAGGACATAATATAGGCCACTTTTTGTGCCTCAGTTTCCTCATCTGTAAAATGGGGAGGTGGTTGACTGCCTTTCTCAAGCACTGAGCTGAGGGGTGTGCATGCTCAGAGAACTGAGGGTGACCTTTAAGTGCAGGCGTTGCCATGACAACGCTCAGGCAAGCCTGACCACAAGAGCCTTCAGGCCGAGTGCTGTGCTCGGATGCACTGTCCTGCTGCCTTCGTGGGCTCTTTTGCTTCCTTGCCACCACCCTGATGGTCCAGGACTCAAGGGAGGAGACCTGGGCACGCTTGGGATGCCCTGGGCTGATGCAGCCCTCCCGGAGGGCACAGGCTCAGCTTTGGCCCTCCTCTCAGGGCAGGGGTGCAGGAACCACCCCCACCCTCACAGCCCCCTCTTCAGGGACCAAACTGCCCACTTAGTTCACAGAAACAGTGGAAAGAAGGGGGAGGCAGGGGAAGGGCACCCTCCCTGCCATGTGTCAGGTCTCCTGGGAGCTCTGCATCAGCCGCGTCTCATTTCTGCTCACCCCAGTTCTGGCAGGTGGAGGTGGTCTCTGTGGTGCTGGGGGGAGACTTGCCTGGGTTAAGTGGCAGGATGGGGTCCAGCCAGGGGTCTGGTACTGGCAGGCCGGGTCTCCCCTCACCGACAGTACCCCCCACCCATGGGCCTGGTGGCAGAGCCATGGACAGAAGGTTTTTTTTACACAGCAACTGGGATATTGGGTTTTTGCACAGAAAACCAGGCCTGTTTGTGTAGAGTGGCCACGTCTGGGTGGGCATGAAGACAGACTGAAGCCTCCTTGCTGCCTGATGCCCTCAGAGGCCATGCCTCTGCTGTCCATTGCATCACCTGATGACCTTTTACTGGAGTCATTTGATTGCAGCTATCCCTTTGGGGATATTCTAGCCAAGATTAATTAAAGATGAGAAGAAACGATGTGAACCCGGCCGGGGGTGCTGGGCGTGGTTCTGGGGTACTTGCCAATGTGGTCTTCATGTTTATGCCAGAAAAATTTCTGTTTGGTGTGGTGGTCCACGTGCATTCAGTTTCCTGGACGGCCAGACGCGAGGGCCAGGAAGGAAGCGCCCCCTGAGCGCGCCTCGAGACCGGCGGGGCAGCCTCCTACTCGCCTGATCCCAGGGGCGGGGGGCGGCCTCAGCATGAAGCCCCGGGTAAGCAGAGATTCTCTTGCTTCTGTCTTGCAGAATCGGCTACCCCATCCCCATGTTCGCGGGCTTCTGCATCATGTTCGTCTCCACCATCAGTAAGTGTCCGATGTTCGCCTTGGAGTGGGGGGTCACGGGCGGGCTTGACGGCCGGAATCAGAAGATGCCCTTGGGGCGGGGGCGTGCAGTTCACGTGGAAACCTGGCATCGGTTAAGGGGGGCTTGGGAAGGGGCCGCCCCGGAGGACTCGGCGCAGCCTCAGGGGCTGCTCTCCCCGCAGTGTTCGCCTTCTCCAGCAGCTACGCCCTCCTGCTCATCGCCAGGTCGCTGCAGGGCATCGGGTCCTCCTGCTCCTCCGTGGCTGGTAGGTCTGGAGGCCCCAGCCAGCCAGTGACCCAGGGGCTGGGTGTGCCGGGCACTGCCAGCGTGGCCCTGGCCAGGGCCGGCCCCCCGGGGGGCTGGGGTGGGACGCGGCTGCCGGAGGACGCATCCACTGCCTCCTTGGATGCTGCGTGTTCTTCCTGAATCTGGCAGGTTCGCAAAGATCGTGGCTGGGCCGGGAAGGTGAGTCCTGGATTGTGATTCTCTGATGCTTCCAGAGCTTGGCTCCTGACTTTCTTTTCCTCCCTAGGCTTGGGCATGCTTGCCAGCGTGTACACGGACGACAAGGAGAGAGGCAACGCCATGGGGATCGCCCTGGGAGGCCTGGCCATGGGGGTCTTAGGTGGGTGAGGACCACTGTGGAGGAGACTGGAGGGGCCCCACCTGGCCAGACAGAGAGGCCACGGCCATGCTGACGGGCCCATGCTGCCCCGTCTTTGTTCCCCACTTTCATGGAGTCTTAGGAAGCTGGAGGGAAGGGTCCTGACCTGGGAGGACCCCGGGTGCCCTTCCTCCTCCCCCTACCTTGCTGGGTAACCTTGAGCAAAGAAACCCCAGACCTCCTGGCCCAGATGCGAGACCAAAACTTGAACAAGCTTTGGATTTGCCGAGATCCTTTCCTCTGGAACATTCTCTGAGCTGTGACTGCAGAGGACCTTCCTGTCCTCTGTCCCTGCCTCCCACCTCCCTGGCCAGCACCTTGGGCCCGGAGAGGCGCTTGGGCCTTGCTGTGTGGGTTCTGTGCCCACACGTGCTGGCCCCGGGTCCCGAAGTGCTGTTGCGGGGAGCGAGCCCTCAGAGCCCTTCCCAGTCCTGACCCTGCTGCTTTCTGGGCTTTGCTTTTGGGGTGATGCTAATAGATCGGTGCCTACATCCGAGGTGCAAACCTGAAGGAAGTGGCCAGGCCACTTCACATGACTGTGGAGCAAGTGGGGGGCCACCCCCTATGCCTTTGGGTCCATGTAGAGAAAGGCAAGAAACCACTGGGTGGTTCTGGTGGGGGGCACCCCTACAGGCCCGGCCCCTCCTTCTCTTCCCTCAGTGGGCCCCCCCTTTGGCAGTGTGCTTTACGAGTTCGTGGGGAAGACGGCTCCGTTCCTGGTGCTGGCCGTCCTGGTGCTCTTGGATGGGGGTGAGTGAGCACGCGGGGTCCGCGGCCCGGGACCGGCCTGGGCACCGGGGCGGCAGGTGCTCAGGCCACGCTGTCCTCTCTCGCAGCCATCCAGCTCTTCGTGCTCCAGCCGTCCCAGGTGCAGCCGGAGGTGAGCTGCCGGAAAAGGGGGGCAGGTGGTGCCCCCTCCAGCCTCCTCACCCCTGTTTCCCTTGACAGAGCCAGAAGGGAACCCCGATCACCACGCTGCTGAGGGACCCCTACATCCTCATCGCGGCAGGTGGGGCCCCTCCCACGCCCGCCCTGTTCTGCTGCCTCAAGGTCAGGCAAAGTCGTGGGACTTGGGGGTGGATGGCGCCGACCGCTTTTCCTTTTGCTGCTGGAAACCGGCTACAGAAAAACATAAAAGACGAAAAGGTTTTACGTCCCAAGACGTGGCTTTCCCGCCATCGAGTTCTGAGTCTCGGCCGGGGTGCCTTTCTTGTGTCTCCTTGGGGGCAAAGTTGTCTGGGGCGTGGCGATCCCGGCCACAGGGCTGCATTTGGGGCTGAGCTTGTCCACTGTGTGTCTCGGGCCCTGACCTTCCCGGCAGCGGCCCGCGCCTCACTCTGTGTCTCCGGCGGGTCTGCCGCGCCCTGGCGTGTGAGAACAGAGGCGGCGGAACAGGCGGGCCGGGGGCCCAGTCATGTCAACATCCTTTCTTCGTTCTGCCTGTGTCACAGAGGTTGAAAAAACTTCATTATGTGAGACCTGACCGTGACGGCAGCGCTGGGTTTTGGAATCCTGCTGGGATTCCAGCCAGCTAGAGGTTCGGTTCGGGGGGGCTGTGGCCCAGGAAGCCCCCGGAACACTGGGGGCGGCTGTGTGTGTCTCTGGCCTGGATGACAGCAGCTGTTTGCACAGATACCCAAGATGGACAGTTGATTTTAAAAAAGAAATCCCTTCACAGCAGCACCCGTACTGGGGGCGCTGGGTTTGCAGGCGGCATTGCAAGTACCTGGGCTGGTGCAGGAGCCTCGGCTGCCTGGGGCAGGAGGGGCGGCCCTGAGCAGAAGGCTCAGGAATGAGTTGAACCCTCGTTCTTCCTTAATACGTGGGCCAAAGGTTTTCTCAGGCTCCCTCTCGTTTCAAACTTTATGACTCTGGGATCCGACCTGTTAATAGCAACAACAAAAAGACAACAGTGAGCCTTACTGGCTCCTCCAGCTGTTTTTCTTTTCTTAACAAAAGTAGATAGAATTTGTGGGTATCTGAGCTGATTGTGCTCGCTCTGAGCCCCAGGGGTTGAGTTGTTTGGAAATGGTAGGGGATACTTGAGACCCCGAAGCACACTGACCTCCTGTTCCTCTCAAGGGGCCATCTGCTTTGCAAACATGGGGATCGCCATGCTGGAGCCGGCCCTGCCCATCTGGATGATGGAGACCATGTGCTCCCGGAAGTGGCAGCTGGGTAAGGCTGGGGCGGGCTCTTTGGTTCTCAAATTTCCCTCCCCAGGTGGGGCCCCTCCCGGTAACTCTGTTGAGCTGCTTGTGTAGATGATAAAGTGATTGTTTCTGTTTGACACTCAGTGGGGCAAGTGCTCAGGGCAGCAATGAGCTTTGGGGTCTCATTTTGGGCTCCAGTTTTTGTAGCACCCCCAGTGAATGCAGAATTACTACGGAGGCATCCACTCTGGGCAGGGATGACAAAGAAAAAATACATCTGGCCTCTCCCCAAGCCTCTGAGACGGACTAGTTATATTCAATGTCTGCACACTAACAGAATTTATATGGAAGAGACCTAACAACAAACAGGTTTTAAAAGGAGGAATTTTTTAAAGTATTTTTTAAATTGTAAAATAATGCTTATAAAAAATCAAAGCACATAGATTGAGGAGGCAAATATCTTAAAAACTTCATATTTATTGAAAACGTTGATAAATTTTTTATTGACATCCGTTGTTTTTCTTTGAAATGGGTTGTTTCTTGTTGATTCTAAGAGTTCTTTGTATATTAAGATAATACTTCTGCATCAGATATTTCACAAATGCTGCCCTGCCTTTGTGGTCTGTCTTGAGACTTGATGGATGGCTTTTTTTTTTTTAATTACTCAGAACATTTAAATATCCTTAATGACTTAGTTGTCTTCCCCTTTCACCACCAGCATTTCATATCAAGTTCAAAGGGTCTTGCGCAGCTAAGGTTTTTTTTTATTCACCCATGTTTTCCTTGAATAGGTGTGTAGTTTGTTTTTTACATTAAAATCTTGGATTTACACAGAATTAATGTTGCCCTAAGCGTGATAGGGATCTGGTGGTACTGCTATCCCCTGGCCGGCCCGTTGCCCCAGCAGTGGTATTCCCCATAATGCTCCATTAGATTTTCTCGTCTTTGTCATGCTCAAAATAACTGTATGTTCCTGGGTCTTTTTCTGGAATTTCCTGGCCCCCTGGTCCGCTTGTACGCCTGTGTTTCTACCCTCCTATTTACTTCCTGCAGCTTTAGAAAACTGTTTAACATCTGGAAGGAGAGTCCCTGCACAAACACCCCCTAGTTTTTTCATTTTTATTTTTTAAAAATTATTTGATGGCAGTAGCGTTGCTTTACAATGCCGTATGTGGTTTAGGGGTGGAGGTTCATTTCTCTTCATATATATGTTACTATACCAGAGCCCCCACCCAGGCCCCCCTAGTGTTGATCACAAACCAGTGCTCCCCCACTCTCCCCTTGACGCCACACCCCACCCTCCCTGTCTGGGAGCCTGGGTTCCACCCCAGATCTCTAGGGCTGGCCCTGGCATAGTTTTGTCTGTCCCTTTATTTCTTTATATTCCCTAGTTGAGTGAAATCATCTGATATTTTCTTTCTCCTTCTGAGTTATTTCACTCTGCATCCTCCGCTCCAGTTCCCTCCGCGTTGTTGCAAATGGCCAGAGTTCATCTTGTTTTTAATAATAGCGGAGTAGTATTCCATTGTCACACACCCTCAAAGATTTTATTGGTTATCCTGCCTAGAGACGTATTTTCTTTTCCTAATTCTTTCACTCACTCGTCATTGTTGATGGAGAGAGTCTGGGTTCTGAACTAGGCCTTCTTGTGCTCTCTCCCCGCCGCCCCGGCCCTCTGTTCCCTCTGTTTGGGATCTTGCTGGATTCTGGCCCTGGTCAGGCCTGTCCCTCTTCCTCAACCAGTTAGCTTGGCCCGAGGACCATGCCCTCTGGTTCCGGTTTGAATTGCTGTGTTTTTGCATCAAATAATCCTTTATTAAAAAGCCTGACATGACTGGGGCGAGATGGGGAGAGAGGCCAGTGGGTGTGGTGAAGATATTCGGGAGCTCAGTAGTGGGAATGGTATACAACCCCCCGGACAGACTGAAAACCCCTCAACTGTGCCTTTTATCAGGGTGATTTTTATGGTGGTTGAAGTTCCCAAAGCCAAAACAAGCCCCAAGCAAGAGGAGTCATCCAGCCAAGGAGCAGAGATTCTTGTTGCTGAACTAAGACTAGTTCTTTGCCAGAAAACTTAACTCTGAGCTTCCTGGCATTTAGGGCAGCAGCAGAAACCCCAAGGCCCTCAACCCCCCTACAAAAGACCAGCCTTTCTGCACAGGGGTGGGCTTTTACTAACCCCGAGTTGGTGAACAGTTTTGCAAAAGACGGAGACATTCTTCATGCCTTGTTCTTATGCCCACGGCTAACCCGGCCCGGCTGCCGGGTCTTCCCTCTGGTCCTGGTGGTGATTTGGCCTCCAGGCTCTTCCGGGAGGTGCCGTGACCCTGTGTCCAGAGCCGGCTCTGTACGTGCTCCGGGGCTGAGCTGCGTCTCTGGTGTGTCTGATGTCGCCACTTAACCCACTCACCGCCCTAATTGAGCGCGTCCTGGCTGAGCAGGGCACTTAGCTGCTCTGCCCTCTTCCTCTGCAGACACAGCCCAGGGCTTGAAACACAGCCGGTCAGAGAGTCCGGGCCACCAGTGAGACAGCAGGCCCAGGCGCCTGGGTTTCGTCAGGAGACGGTCCTGCGGGGCTTGTCGCCGCCCCCGTGCTGCCCGCCAGCTCCGCACGTGTCCCCCGGGAAGCAGCCCTCCTCGCCCCGGGGTGGACGGGGGCTTTTCAAGAGGAGCCCAGGTCCAGACCAGTGGGAGAGGAAACACCCCGCCTGAGATGGGGCCGCTCTCCGGGAGCCCCCAGGGCCCTGGGAACCTTAGGAGAGCACGTGCAGGTCGGGGGCCGGGGGCCGGCACTGGGGTCCCTTGTTCAGAGCCTTGTGTGCAAGGGAAGCCCTTCCACCTCCCTTCCCCCATCCGTTCTGGAGAAAGAGCCTAAGACCTGGCGTCAGGCAGAGCCATCCTCCGCACTGCCTGGCGATGCTTGACTGCTCTGGCAAATGTGGGGCTTGGGGCCATGACTTTTGGGGGTGGTAAAGAGGGCAGCCCCTCTAGAGCCCAGAAGGCTCCTTGCCAGCTGCCTGCAGAGCCCGTGTTGCCCCTTGGGGCTGGCCCTGCACTGGGGTTGGTGAAGAGGGAGTCATTTCTCTCTCTCTCTCAGGTCCTGGGTCAAATGTCCTCTCCCTGACACCGAGGCTCAGGGCCCCAGAGTGCGCAGTGAGGCAAAGACCCCTCCAGAAGCTTGGGCTCTGCGCAGCAGGCGCGGAAAGGGCCGAAGCCAGACTTCCTCTTGGCTTTGCCAGCCCGTTTGTCTCTCATGAGATGTGGGGTGGGGAAAGGGGTCCATTCAGCTGCGCCCCCAGTCAGCCGTGACCTTCGGCCTGTCCTGTGCCAGCCTGGCTGGGTCGCAGCAGACACGGTGGTTACTGCCGACTTTCCGTGGGTCCGGGGTGTGAGGCCTTGGCCCCCTGACCCTCCCTTGGGCGGGCCCACCGGGACCCCCACCCGCTCTGGCTGCTGCGAAGCCCTGGATGACTTCTGGCTCGGACCTCCTCCCCCCCCCGCACTGGTTCCCTGCAGTGCACCCCCTGTCCCCCAAGGAAACTTTGAGCTTTCCCCGGGCTCTCTTTGGCCTTCTCTCTGGTGTTCATCTCTTGGTCTCGCCTCAGAGTCAGCCTCCCCTCCTCGTCCTGCCGCCACCCTCCCTCCTGTTTACCCGCGCACACGCCCCTGCTGTTTGGGCCCAGGTGTCCACACTCACGCCCCCAAGGGCCTTCTGCTTAACACAATCGAGGCCGCAGATGGTAGCCGTAGAGACGAGTGGCAGAAGGGCGTAAAAAGGCCTAATTTAATTTTATTTACCCTGCACTAACCCTGGGCTTTGTGAAGGTTCGAGTCTCATCCTGGGCACTTTTGTACAACAGCCCCAGTTAATACTTTCCCAGTGAGCTGGAGAAAGGCCTGGAATGAGTTCTGTTGCGTTTGCAGGTGGTGCAAATTGGGGAGGGATTAAGTTGGCCAGCGAGTCAGATTCCAAAAGGATTTCACTCCACAGGCAGAAACGAAGGCCTGAAGGAATGGGGTGCAGTCCTGGGGTGCAGAGGGTGGTGGGGAGGACGTGGACCCAGCCAGGGTTGCAGATGCGCTGTCATGGCGTGGGGGGCCTGGTGGGCGCTCAGGACTGTGCACTCAAGAGGACCAGGGCGGGCGAGGGCTGGAGCTGCCGGCCCAGGCGAGGGCCAGCCTAGGGTAGGGAAGTGATGAGGGGGCCGCCCACAGGCTCACTCATCCCATCCCTGCCTGAGAGCCGCGTGCCCATCACAGTGCTGGGCCGGGTCAGTTCTGGGCACCATGTTTCAAGATAAATTACTTGCTCTTGTGTGGAGTGTTGACCTCGGGACCCTGACACCCCCAGAGCCCCTTGGCATTTGACCTAGTGTAGTGGCAGGAATGACCACAGTGCAGGTTCTCTGATCCCATGCAGACTGGGTAAAGGAGGGATCAGAGTCCTTAGTGGCTTTTTGCAGGTCTTTTATTGGGGTTCACCAGACATATGGCAGGCAGGGGTGCTGGGGGGCCGGGAGGCTGGCAGGTCTCCCAGCCCCCAGCAAGTCTTTACTCTATCTGGGCTCTCCGGCCTTCTATGCTTCTCTCTCGGCTTCTGCTACTTCTCTCTCGGCTTCTCTTTCAGCTTCTCCTGGCGTCCCCGTGACGCCGCCCTTAAAGGCACAGTCTTAGCGCAGGTGTCCCCACTTCAGGTGCCGCCATCAGGCATGCATTCAGGATCACAGGGTTCCCTCATCTATCCTGATGGCGAGAGGGCAGAAAAGCCTGATACCTTTTACCTTACCCTACACCTGGGAGGCCAGGTCATGGTGGGGTGCCGTCTCACTGGTGCGGGGAGGAGGTCCAAGCCGTCTTATCTCGGCCCCAAACCACAAACCAAGACCAGAGATGGGGAAGGCGGCATGTGAGGAGCCCGGGCTCCCACTAGGAGCTGGCGTGGGGGTGGGGCGGGGCTGTCTGGAAGGTCATGGACTCCAGGCCCCGCGTCTCCTAGCAAAGCTCATCACCCCTTTGGTACAACAATGGCCGACATGGGCTTAATGTTTTGAAAACTCAATTGCCAACATTTAAAAATGAGGTGATTTCAACTAAGAAAACCAGATCTTGTGATCTGGGACTCAATCCTCCAGGGAAGCCAGTGTCTGGAGAGGGTGGCAGCAGCTGCTTAACAGCCCCCTCTGTTTTCCTTTTGTTTCTCTGAGGCTGAATGTCGGGGGGTCTTTGTCTGGCTACCGCTGCTGCCCCTTCTCTCCTGTACTTGGCTGGCACCGCTCGTGCCTCCCTTGTCCCCCTGGGCGCTCGTCCTGAATCAGGCTGTCTAGACTAGCTTCTCTCGGCACAGCCAGCAAGGTCAGGTTTCCACGCCGCTGCTCTGGGGCGCCTGCCGGCGCTGGGTCCTCTGAGCACCAGGCTGGTGCCTCTGTCACGTCCCTCGTGACGCCATGGCAAGGGCCAGGCATCACCGAGTCCTTCCTTCGATAAAGCTTCTGTGATCAGGGCCACGTTGTGGGCACTGCCTTTGCTGCAGCTGGCACAGGGCCGGGCACAGGCCGTCAGCAGCGTTTGCCGAGCCTCATACGCCCGACAATTACCCGACCCGGGTATGTGGCTCAGAGTGACGGAAATGGTTTCCTGGAACATGAAATGAGGTTGCTCTTCTTGTTACTGCCCAGATCACCAAGTCTGGGATGACTTGGTTTTGGGTTCGCTCCTGGAAACAGTCACGTGGAAGTGTGTCCTGTGCCCGAGGCTCAGCCTTTCTGGAGCCCTGGGGAGGGGAGGATGCGTCTAGGCCTGGGGTGGGGGCTGGGAGGAGGCGCGAGGGCCTCCTGGAAGAGGCAGGGCAGGCTCGTCTGCGGTGTGTCTGTCTCTGTCTGGACTAGAAGGGCCTTGGTCCCAGGCATCTGGAGCGCCGCGGGCACACACTGACCGTCTAGTATCTACCATGGGTAGCAAGTTCATGCACCTGCATGATTGAGAATAAAGCCACTTACCGTCTGTGGGCCAGGGTTAGAATCAAATCTGGTATATGTGACTTCAAGAAAAAAAACACGTTAATGAACTGTCTTTGGAAAAGAGATTGTCTTGTCCTTGCCAAGGGTGGGGACCAGAGAGCCGATGTGGACAGACCCCTGGCCGCCGAGCCTGCGAGACTGAGTGGCTTTCTGCTCAACGCAGAGGGCTCAACGCCAGCAGCAGGAGGTCAGCTCAGGGGCCCACCGAGCCCAGGCATGCAAGGTCCCTGTCCCGGCGAACCTGCAACCTTGCACTGGAAACTGCCGGGCACTTAGGACATGGCCGCCAGAAATGACCATGGAGACATGGATTATTTTGTTGTCGTGGAAAGGTGTGCATGAGCTGATTGGCAAAGGAGGATGGAGGCTGGTAGGTATGATGCCATTTGGTTTTTGGAAAAACAAAGGCCCGTGCACACGCAATGGCGTTTATAAACGAACGCTTGTGGGATAGTAACCCATTGGGAAAGGCTCCTCAGGGTCGTCTTAACTTTTTTCTTGCTGCTTCATGTTCCCTGATTTTGCCAACGCCCCTGTCTCATCTGTCATTCAAATAACAAAGCAGCAGGGCAGGCACAGGGGCCAGCGGCCAGTTGCCCGGCCAGGGAGCTGGGCGCTGCTGCTGTCGCCCCGTGTGGGAAGCTCACTCTCGGCCAGAGCTGGGGGCGAGATGAAGCCGTTGATAGAGAAATGAATTTCATTTCTGGAGTGTCGCAGCAGCTTCGTGGGGATGGACCAGCCCCGGGGGCAGGACTGGCCACCGGATATTAGCTGCGCGGGTGCTGGCCCAGGGTGTCGTTTCTCGGCTCTAATCAACGCGGTGGTGTCTGACAATTATTAGTTTTTCTAACATTTGCCTGATATCAGTACTGATATGGTGTCCTTTTCATAAATTCACAGGCATTGCTTTCTTGCCAGCTAGTATCTCTTATCTCATTGGAACCAATATTTTTGGGACACTGGCACACAAAATGGGGAGGTAAGATGAGATGACAGCCGAGCGCCTCCATGCGTGGAGACGGGCAGTTAAAAAAATTCCAAGTGTGTCTGCCTTAGCTGTGAGAAGGGCTTGTCTTGATTTCCAGTGGAAATTTGGAATGGGGGGGAATTATTTTATTTCTCTAAAAGTTATCTACAGATAGTGCTTTTTTTTTTTTTTAAAGATTTATTTTTATTTATTTGTGCATACGAGAACTGGAGTGTAGGTCAGAGGTGCTAGGGGGTTGCAAGGATTCACCAGAGACGGAGTGGGGGAGCAGAACAGGTGGGTCCACTGAAACACACTGCTGAGGGGAGCAGCGGGGAGACAGGAGAGGTCTGCTGCTCCACGTGGGTTGCTCCCTGGCCGGGGATTGAACTCGTGCCGCAGTGGCTGGTGATAGATTGATAGCGTTGAGACTTAACCCCTGCTCCACCAAGGGGACCCCAATGTGCTTTTTGTTTTTTGACAGGTGGCTTTGTGCACTTCTGGGGCTGGTCATCGTCGGAATCAGCATTTTATGTGTGAGTAAAAGAGGACAGTTTGACAAGTGGAAACAAACCATGAATCAACTTTTGCTTAGGGCAGGAATTACCAAGAAATAGTCTACAGTCCTTTGAAATTTGTTTGTATTTATTTTTACTAAGAATTTTCCTTTTCTTCTCTTTAAACAATCATCTTAAACGTTTTTGGAACGGACTGTCCGAGGGGTGCATTTTATTTTATTTAATTGGAAGTTTTTAAAGATAGTTTATATGTTTACTTTTCACTCTCCTTCCCACATCTTAACTATTACATCTTAAACACTTACGGCGACTAGCCCGAAATAACGACACGGTGCTTTTCTAGAATCAAAAGCGTTTCCTCCTCCTGGTCAGTGTCTACCCCCAGGGAGGCCTTCTTGTTCTTGTCAGAAACGGAGCATGGACCTGACTGGACTTTCACCTGCAACTAGGTTTTTTTTTTTTTTGTGGTTTGACAAAACAAAACCTGTTTCTGCTTCGACTTGTAGAGATTTGGGGGTTCAGTTCTCCCCAAGCCCCATTCTGCCTCCTCCTGTTCTCTCAGAAGGGAACACACAGCAGACCAGAGATCATATACTTGTAAGACTTTCCAAGGCGCTTTAGAATTCATGTTGTTTTATTTTAGGGTGACGCTTGTTTCCTCTTACAGATTCCTTTTGCAAAAAACATTTATGGCCTCGTTGCTCCCAACTTTGGAGTTGGTTTTGCGATCGGTAAGTCGCACAAGCCTGTGCCCGAGGGGAGGACTTGGTTTTCCTCATCCCTAAAGCAAGATCTCCTCTTATGGGAGTTACTCACCCCGACATTTCCAGAAGCCTGAGAGGAGCTGTGGGCAGCTGAGCTCAAGTACAGCCTGCACGTCACCCTCAGAAAGCTGCCTGCTTCCACATGCTAGTCATTTATTTCCTGAAAACCAGCCCTTCTGAAAGTCTGATATTTACAGAAGCAAACAGATACTGCACTGTGCTTTGGGCAAACAAGCGAATCCCTCCCTCGGAACGCATTTGTTTGGTCTCAGATCTGTGAACAGACCTTCTGTTTGAGGCCAGACTACAAAGACTTGAGGTTTGGTTCAGAAATGGTGGCTGGTGACCTGGGAGTCTTCCTGGGCAGAGGAGATGAGTGTTTGTTCAGGGAAGAACAATAATGTTAGGACAAATTTTGTTAACATTTGGGATAGACCCTTGCATACTTTTCCCCCTTATTAATAACGTGCAGGTCCATATTAATAATATGCATTAATAATATCATGGCAAAAGCAAATGCTCGTTCAGCCGTAGGATAAGGGCAGGACTTTCACCTGTGAGTGGGAAAGCAGAAGGAGCAGTCCTTGCCGACCCTATGCAGGTCACAACCCCCAGGGTCTGTGTTGTCCTGCAGCATCTTCGTGGCATCAGTCACAATCCAAATTCATTTTTCAATTTCTGTTTAAACTCATCCAACTCAGATGTTGGTCTGCTCACCTGTATCCCCAGCACCTCACACATATTAAAGAAGCAGCAAATGCTACTCTAATGAGAGGCGTTTCCCTCGTCTACCTGCCTCTGACACCTGCGAGGTGGGGGCGCTAATACTGAGTCCTCTGCTGAGTGTGTTCACAGAAACGGTCTCATTTTAGCCAGTCATGCACAGCCCCATTTTACAGATGGGAAACCCCATTTTATAGGCGAGAAATCTTCCTAGAGCTACTGCGTGGCCCTGCTCACCTGGCCAGGGATTGGAATCCAGGACTGAACACACGTGCTCGCTCTTGATCCAGCCCCCTCCAAAATATCCCAGGGGCTGGAGATTCCAGGACAGGTCTAGGTGGTGGTGGTGGTCATGAGCAAACTTCTTTGCATTTTAGATTCCTGTGCAGGGCCAGGTGGTCCCCCTGACGCCTTCAGGTCTGGAACCCACTGCTCCTCCCTGGCACCTTCCACCTTTATTTCTCACTGTTCTTGTGGGAGGCCCCAGTGAGGCTGGGGAAGAGACTGGGCAAGCGTGTGGGGTGCCAAGAGGACTGAGGCCTCACCCGGAATTCAGGCCACTGAGCCGAGGGCCCGGGCGAGGCAGGTAGCGTCAGGCAGTGACCTGGGTTCAGGCCAGCTGCTCTCTGCCACCTGTCCTTTGTGAGAGGTGCCGTGGGGCGGCTGCCTCAAGACTTGCAAGTGGCAGTGAAGAGCCAGCTGGGTGGTGAGGTTGGGCCATGGTCCTGACATGAAGCCCATTGTCGGTTCATGCCAGTTTTCTATAGACTGTGCCCGACTGTCCGCAGGCATGGTGGACTCGTCCATGATGCCCATCATGGGCCACCTGGTGGACCTGCGGCACGTGTCGGTGTACGGGAGCGTGTACGCCATCGCCGACGTGGCCTTCTGTATGGGCTATGCTATAGGTAAGTGCCGCCTGCCATCGCCCAGCAGGGACGGGTGCCCCTGAACATTATTGTTACCTTTGCCTCTTTCTGTCTGCAAGACCCCTGGCAGAGCTTTGGCTGAGTCTGTTTCCCGGCAGGTCCTTCTGCGGGTGGAGCAATCGCAAAGGCAATTGGATTCCCGTGGCTCATGACAATCATTGGAATAATTGATATTCTTTTTGCCCCTCTCTGCTTTTTTCTTCGAAGTCTACCTGCCAAGGAGGAAAAAATGGTAAGAAATTTTTAGGAGGTATGGAGTGTTTCCTGACCATTCAGGCATGTCTTCTGGGTTTCCTCTGGTTTGATTCTGAAATGTGTTTCTGCTGCGTTTGGGCAGAACTCAAAATGGGAGGGGTTCCTTTTCTGGAACCCCTTATTCCTTAAGGGCAGCTATTTCTTCTACTGTATTGAGTAGTATATTTACACATTTGAAAAGTGATTTTTTTGTATATAGGTGAGCAGTCAGTATAACTCTTTGTCAAGCAAATATAAAACAGGGAGCGTTCAACTGAGTTTTCTACAGTTCTTAAAAATCTTGGACCTCTTTCTTTTGCCTTCTGCACTTACTCCTAAGATTAGCCATTTTTGGTGGTTTGCTTTTCTGCTAACCTTTATCCTTTCAGGCGGGTGTCTTTCTTTTTACTGTACACAGTTCTGGAGGTGATTTTAGGGTGGGTAACCCCCGGGAGCGTGTGAGCGTGTGTAACCTTTCAGTTCAAAGCATCACAACCAGGATCGCAATATTGGCAAGACATAGTATTGAATATAAAGTGTGTTCCCCTTTGAACAATTTCCAACTTACCACTTCTAGATTTGAATGTTGGAATACCTCATCCATGTTAACTTTTCTGATAATTGTTCTTAAGAAGATTAAATAGTTACAGACACTGGCCCTGGTGAAAGACAGTGTCATGGATTCAGAATGAACAGGCCAGGGGAGGGGAGATGGTGGTTCGTGTCTATGAGTGGACACGAGGCCCCCTCTGTCCCCTGGGAAGGACGTCACTTCTTTCTGACTGAACTGCACTCAACTGGGTCTCAAGTGCGTTGGCATTTCCCCAACTGCCCTTTCAAGCTTCTCCTCCAAGAGTGGATTTAAAGACAGAGGCAGACCCTAAGGGTAGGTTATGTGCAGCCTTTATTTGTTTTAGGCATTTTTTTGCATTCATTAGTTCTTCCAGTAGATTTAAAAAAATGTATCCAGCCCTGAGCGCTGGTCTGTGCCCTTTATTCTGTAGAGTTTCACTAGACAATTTTGAATTATTCATGACCCATTTGACTCAAAGAAGAGGCGTGGAAGGCGCCCTCTCCCTTCCCCTTGCTTGGCTGCTTCTCCAGCTCAGCCACCTGAGCCCTTCCATAAACACCTCCCGGGGCTCACCTGTCTGCTAACCATCTTGGTTTGGCTGACCTCAGCCCAGAACCTTGCCTAGGTCAGGCTCAGAAAATTCGCATAGGATTTTCAATGAAAAACTGTCGAGTGTTGCCACCACATAAGTATAAGGTTGAATGAAGGTGACACCTAACCTTTTCTGACCCCCAAAAAAGGGGAGGGGGAAAGAAAGATCACCTGTCGCCCAGGAGATTGTTTGATACTCTTGGCATAGTGAAGGGCGAGTGTGGGACATGGTCGAGGAAAAGCACCCGGACGCAAGGCTTGGTTAGCCTGTGTCTGGCACACAGTGAACTCGCCACAAATGTGCTGCTGTCCCGGCATCACACTGCTCTTTGCTCTGGTTTTTATCCCACTTCCTGACTTACTGTGTCAGCCCCGTGCTGCCCCAGGAGCCTCCAGCCTTTTCCCCCCTGAGGCGCGAGCGTCCTTGCATTGTTCATTGTTTCCAGCCTGGAGCTGCTGCTCTGGCTTCCCGAGATGCTGGTGGCTGTTGTATCATCTGTTCCTGTGGCGGTGGCAGCAGCACAGCGTGATGGCTTATCTGGGGTCCGGAGGAAGTGAGGGAGGCCAGAGGATGAGCGGGGGAGGGAGAGGGGCCAGGCTTGCCCGCCAGCTATCGCTACAGCCCACAAGGCAGGCCTCAGTTCCCCCACCTCTCTCCACATTTAAACCATGGCTTCAGTTCATTTAAAAAGAAAAATGCTGAAGGAAGTGGAAGAGATGGTCCTAAAAGTCAAAGCAATAAGAATGACAGGTTTCCAGAAAGCCATTTTCACTTTAAAATGTCAAAATCCTTCGTGTCTAACAAGATAAATCAAAAAAAACTAGGGGGGAAACGTGCATCTTGCTGCCCATAATTGACGCCATAATCGAAGGCATCACATCAGAGGCCATTTGGCGGGTGTAACAGGCAGATCTGGAGGGGGCGGTGGCAGCTGCTGCCTCTTGTGCCAGCGGAGCAGGAAGAAGCGGGTGGAAACCCGCAGCACCTAATGATAAGGGGGAGGGCGGCGAGACAGCAGTGTGCTGTGGAGGAGAAGGAGCTGATTAGTGTCCACTTGAGAAAATCCGATGGACGAGAGCCGGTCCACTTAGCTCCGCAGTGCAGGACGTGGAGCCAGAACGAGGCGGACGGTCTCTCTGGTCAGGCAGCAGTCTGAGAAGGTGGTGTTTGGATTAAGTTTGTATCTCTACATCGAGGGGGCTGATGCTGCGTTCATGAATCCCAGGTTGTAGATTCATGAGTTTGTGAGCTAGTGAGTTTTTCTTCCATTTGTTTCCATTTCTGGTTTTTTGTTTTTTTTTTCCATAATCAATGTTGAGTTATAATACATGGGGAGAAAAAAATCTTTTTGGCAGTGAGGTGCCTCTGCAGGTCTACGGAGACTTCGGACTGCCATTTGAGGAAAACTGTGTTTCAGTTCCGTGACACTCACTAGCAGCCCATCATTCAGAATTTTCGGTTGTGTTCTGCTGTGGAATTTTATTCAGGTTGAAGAATTATTTTAGAAGATAGGGCCCATTTCTTATATCTTACACTTGACATTTCTAAGTGTTGCCCAGACAGGAAAGTAGGAGTTGTTGTTTTTTTTTTTTTTTTAAAAGTTTCATTTATTTATGCATACAAGAGCTGGGGAACAGGCCAGAGGTTTGAGGGGTGAGAGGAGTCACCAGAGACAGAGTGGGGAGCAGAACAGGCAGACTGACTGAAAGACACTGCTGAGGGGAGCAGCGGGCGAGACAGGAGAGGTCTGCTGCACCATGTGGGTTTCGCCCCGGCCAGCCGGGGATCGAAATCGCGCTGCAGATTGACTCATTGTGCTTAACCCCCTGCGCCACCGGGGAGGCCCCAGGAAAGTAGGAGGTCTGAGGACAGTCCTTCCCTGTCTCCCATCCATTACTTTGCCTTCTCTCTCTTTACCGAGGCAGCACTGGTTTCCAGTCTGTGGCTAGTGCAGTGGGCCTGCCTCTCCGTGTGCCCTGTGTGCCACGCCCACCAGCAGCTTGCGTTTTCTGGGTGACTCTGAGTCTCTGCTGTTCCATAGTCTTTCCAGTTGCTCTGCCTTTGGAGGTCATGGGTAGGGCAAGGATTGCATATCTGAAGCCAAGGGGACCGAGTATGCTCTGTGTATTATAATGGATAGAACCGGGCCTCCCCGGTGGCGCAGCGGTTGAGCGCTGGGTTGCGAAGCTGCCCGCGGCCTCTGCGGCGCCGGTTCGATCCCCGGCTGCTCCCTGGCCACCAGAGGAGGGTCCCACATGGCGTGCAGACCTCTCCTGCCGCCCGCTGCTCCCCTCAGCAGTGTACTTCGGTCCTTCTGCCTGCTCTGCTCCCCGCTCTGGCTCTGGTGAATTCTCTCACCCTCCCGCGCTTCTGACTGTACCCAGTGCATGTATAAACAAAACAAACAAACAAACCAGCAAACAAATAAATAAAGTATGCCTCTATAAAAAAAAAAAAAAAAAAAAAAAAAAAAAATAATGGATAGAACCTTGTCCCTTCGTGGGGCATATACATGGTGGATATGTAAAACCGCCATCAGTTCTTTTTCAAATATGCCTGGTGTCCTTTAGAGTCGCAAAGCCTGGGGCGTTTACCCTTTAATGATCTGTTTCAGTATCCAGCTTCCTATTTGTTTTGATTTTACATTCATTAGTCCTACCTGTTCTTGCCACTTTGGGGATCCTGACTTTGCTCTGTCTGATATGAAAGCAGGTATTTGGCAGAGCCGAGAGTATCTCCTTAGCCTTTCCTCTGAATTAAAATCTCCTTTTTATTTTCTCTTCAGTTACGCTTTCCTCCCCACAGTGATGCATGGAGTGCGGACTTAAAGTACCTGCCGGTCCCAGCCACTCTGTACGCATCCCCCGTGAACCTGACCTACCCCCCCCCCCACACACCTGTTCCTGCCCCTTTTCATGGCACTTTTGGAATATTATCTGCCATCTGGATTACTGAATTATATACAACTTGAAAGAAAAATTACTGCACAGTAAATCCTTTAAGAGATTCAGAAGCCAGTTAGTTAGGTCTTAAAAGCTATCAAACAGTATTTTAAGGAAGAAAAACTTCTCCATGTGAAACAGCCTAGTCAACAAATGTGGTTGGCTGAAATGAAAAATCCTGACTATTTAAGCCTGTGTCATGCCAAATGGTGTGACTGAAATTCTCTCCTTGCAATATAGTCTTCAGTGGAGTCTTTATTAGGTACCCAGTGCTTGATTCCAGGGGTCCTAGAGAAACCTGCATATACTCAGTCAGGCCTATGGTGGATAAGCCAAGAGGCAGGAGGCAATTTTACATGAGGTGCAGCCGATGGCCCCCCTTTCCATGGCTGCCTTGCAGCTTGTGGGCCCACGGAATGTCTGGACCTCTTGCCTGGCACACGAGGCTGCAGTGTGGCCCCTGCGGGACTTCCCATTAGTGTCTCACTGGGCCTCGCCCTTAGATCTCTGCGGTGGCCAGGCTGGCCTGCTCTGTGTCCCTGATAAATAATCCAGACTCCCAGCTCTCTCACCATGCAGCCCCTGTCATTCAAGTGTCACCTCAGCTCCTTCTCTCCCATGCAGCCTGTCCTGAGCAACTCACCCACGGTGAGCATTCTCTGAGGCCTTGTGGAACCCGCCTCTCCTCATGCAGTCGGGTAACTAAGATGCTGGTGTCGGACTATCAGGGCGTGGCAATACATACCTGGTTGGTTCCCAGGAAGCTGTCATCAGCCCTGTGATCCTCTGTGGGCCTAGGTGTTATCTGGAAAGATCTACATGATGACTCTAGTATAGCTGATGCCAGCCAAGTAGGATGTGGGTCTCCTAGCATGCTGATTACCACCGTCCTGTGAAGGACCTGGGATTGTATTTTCAATTTGCCCCCCTTCTCTCCCCAAGTGATTGAGAATTTCGTTGAAGATCACTAATCTAGGGAGACTAGACATTGAGCTCCTCGGGGTCAAAATCTTTGGTAAAAGGACGATTTGTCCACAATGGGAGGACGGCCCTAGGGTACTGTCTCTTACCTCAGTTACTTTTTAGAAACTGAGTGCTTTATTCGCTTGGCAAGAAGCGTAACAAAAAGATGGGAGTTAAATTTGCAGTTGACAATTTGAGCTGGCAGCCTAACTCGAGGGTCAAAGAAGTCCTTATCTGAACGTGTCACAGGCAGATCATCTTAGAGCTTTTTGGGAAGTGGCAAATGGGCTTGGTGCAGAGTAGAGTCACGGAAGCTTATCAAGTCTGGTACAAGAACTTAGCTAACAAGATAGGATGCAACACGCTAACGTGTAAGATAAAACTTAATCCAGATAAATATTTCCATTTAGTTTCAAACTGCACAAAAGGTACTGTGGGATAAGTGGAGGAAAATTCCGAGACCTATTTGATAATTTCTTTCACTTATACCCAGTGTCCCACCACTGCCCTCCTCCAAGGACACCAGGGAGAGTTCATCCTGGTCGACTCTGGGGGCCAGCTGCCTGGGCTTATGTCTGCTGTGTTCTAGCTGCCCATCCCTTGACCAGGCTGTTTAACCTCAGAGAGTTGTCAGCCTACCAGAGTTACTGTGCAGCTGAGGTATTGCATCGAAAATGCTAGTGTGGTCCTGGCAGGATAAACATTATGGGTATTAAAAGACTTACGTGCTTGGTCTGGAACTTCCAGGAGTGACTAAGTCCTTATTGATTGAGAACACAATTTGTAAAGAAAGCATTGCTTTTTCTGGTCACACATTTGTTCAAATTTCATTAATAAGGGCACACATTTTTATAAGAGGAAATTTTTTTTTTAAATCAGATTTGAGCAGGATTTGGGGAGAGGTGCCATGGAAATCCCATTTGTGAAAAGTCAAGGTTCCTCTGACGTTTAGTCTAAGAAAAATCTCAGGGACCATGGTAAAGGTCTTATAATACTGTAAGGCAGTCTGTGCAGACGGCTGCTATCAGCACTGGATCTGTGAACAGAAACAGTGGGGACAGGGTCTAGTCCAGCCTCAGGATCCTTTCTAGCACAAGAGCTCACCTCGTTCAGGAGATCATGGCAGTATTGAGGGTATTGCCTCAGTAAATTCTGTGAACAGAAGTTGGAATGGGTGACTGCCAGGACCCCTCCCCCATTCCAAGATGCTCCTTGTCATTCTTCCTAACCTTCACCTGCATATCCCCGCGTCTTAGTGCAGTTTTCCTCCAAGCGATGCATGGCCACTGGCAGGTGTGATGGGGACACCGTGGAGACTGCCTCGCTACTTCCTGCGCTGTACGGCTCCGTGTGGAGCTCGTCGCCCTCTAGGCCAGTACCTGGCAGTCGTCCCAGATGACTGGATAACAGTGGGTGTGCTGTATCTAGCCTTCAGCTAAGTAATCTTTAAGAGCAGGTTAAAACCAACTAATCTTTACAAAACAAGGTTAATCTATCTGCACTTTGCTCTCTTTTAGGCCATCCTCATGGACCACAACTGCCCCATTAAAACAAAAATGTACACTCAGAATAATATCCAGTCGTACCCGATAGGTGATGATGAAGAATCTGAAAGTGACTGACACCCTCAAAAGTCATCAAGAGCATTTAATTGTATAAGTGTTTCCAGTAAAATGACTCACCCAGAACTGTCTTAGTCATACCATTCATCCCTGATGAAAGAGTAAACAACCAAAGGCTATTATTTCTTTTCCATGGTTACGATCGATTGCCAACAGCCTTATAAAGAAAAAGAAGCTTTTCTAGGGGTTTGTATAAATAGTGTTGAAAACTTTATTTTATGTATTTGATTTTATTAAATATTATACAATATATTTTGACGAAATATAGTGTAAATCTATAAATATTTGAATCCAAATCAAATATAATTTTTTAACTTACATTCACGAACACTTGGGCAAAAAAATCTTATATTTTTTCTGAATATTGGTAATGAGTGTTTAAAACTAAAGCACACATTATCTCCGAGACACTTCCGACAATGAGAAACTAGAAGGATGTCTGCAAAACAGAATTCAAGAAAGACAGCATATATTATGTAGTGAAACTGAATGTTATTTAACTTGTAACTACTATCGGTCTGAGTTACAAGCTAGTTATCACACGTGCAGAGGACAAGAACAGAGTTGGTCATCTTTTGGATTTATCCGTATTATCTTAGCTGGTATTAGTTTTCTATGTGATTACCTACCTGGAAACAGATAGTTGTAAATTATGTTAACATGTCATGTGGTTGACAGCAAACGTTAAAGCCAGTAAGGAAAAACCAGTAAATATTCTGAAAGCAGAGAAAAGCACCCAAAACATTTAATATAAACTAGAAGTTTTTCCTTTAAGATACATACTTGATTGTCTTAATGGATGAGAGAAAAATGAAAGATTTATCTTATACTGTCAAGATTGTTTAAGCGAGGTAAGATATAGTGACATCTAGTTCAAGTTTTAGAAATTTAAAAGGATAATAGCTCATGTGACATGAAAAACTGAGACTAGTATCTCTGACCTGTTTGGAGGTCATCCCAGTGTTTTCTAGGGATCTATTAATTTCGTGTTATCTAAAACTATTATTTTCTAGACTTCTGAAGGTTGTTCACATCAATATGAAAACAAATTTTAAAAGAAGATGAAGGAATGAAATTGTCTTATCAGGTAAAAATAATTGGGTGGTCAGGACACACCCCCTTCCACAGGCAAAAAACTATAAACAAAAAAAAAACCCAAACCCATCTAAATGTCTATGTATTACTTCATCATCTAGTGCTTGTGTAATGTGGTTTTCTGAGCATGACAACATTGATGTGCCTTTTCAGTGTAACAGCAATTACTGTTAGTGAACATTGTCGGTTTATATCAAGTTTTGTGTGAGATATGGTTGAAGTGTGCAGATAGTGTGGAATGTCTCAAATAGTATGCATTAGTCTATAGTTCTGTAACTGTAAACAGGCTACCTAAAGTCAGTTCTTTGTTCAGCTAAAATTGTGTTTGTTAGTTTGGACATCAAGAGCAAAGAACATTAGAATAAAGACTCAATCTTATTCTCCAGGAAAGCAGCTAATACTTCCTTTTGCTTTATGAAGCTTTCTGTTGGGCTTTGAAATGATTTCAAGTCTGGTTTTCAAGGCAGTGTTGGAAGCAAACAAGCTTCTTACTCACCTATTTGCAAGGGGCAACTTACACAGGTCTGCTACTCTGGAAGATGGCTTTGGAGGCACTCATGTGGCCAAAGTAGGAACAAGGCAGGATTGTTCTTAATTCCATAGGGTAGTCTTAAAAAAGAATGTGTAACAGATCATTTCTCTCAGCAGGTTTGTTGTTCTCCCCACCCCCAACACCATACAATTCATTCCTAATTTATTTTTGCCTTTAACGGCTTCAGTCTCTTCAAGTAAGACTGGCAAAAACATGCCTAAATGCTGCTGATCCCTAGGGATAACAAAAAGTGTTTCTCAGAATTGTTTTGGGAGCAAAAGAGATCAGTTGTATCTGAGGGGGAAAAAAGTTGTAAGGCCTTTTTGGACTAGTATTCTGGGGTTATTAGCAAGACTGAAAAGGGAGGCTTAAAATTTTTTTTTTTTTGTATCAGAATAAAGAACATGCAGCTCCCTGAAGGTTTATTTTGAGCAGAGGTGGGTTCTATCTGTACCTAGCAAAACAGATATAAAAACCTTAATGAGGTAGCAATGGATGTTCTTTTGATTGCTGAGTGTATTTGTCAATGTCATGTCTTAGCTAGTTTACCTAATAAATCTTCTGAACACTACTCTGCTGTTTGTATTCCTTTACGAACCAGACATGATCACTGGGATAACATATACAAGACTGTGGCTATTTAATTAAAAACTATTCTCTGCTTACAGGCATCAGGTATAATACTTAAGATTAGTTTGAACCATACTTTCTGGCTTTGCAAAATCTGTCTTGAATTGAAATGTGTAACTAGCCACATGATGTCAATGTGGAAAAACTCCTCAGTTATCCTTGAGCAGCTCTGAACTTAAAATGTTTTCCTGATTGCTGTGAACAAGTATCTAATGACAATATCTGTAACGTGCAGCCATTTGACCGCGGGCCCACAGGCTCCTGGAAGGTCCACCAGACTTAGGGTATGTATTTGCGAATTGAGAGGTGAGAGTCCATAGTTTTAACCTGTGACTCAAAAAGGATTAGGGAAACCTCTTTCTACCCCCTTCTTTAAAGGAAAACTATGATGTCAATTTTGAAATAAAGACAATACATTTTAAAATTAAAGTGATTTAAAATTTATTGACTTTTAGGGGACTTAAGATTTTATTACCTTTAGAGTCAAATATTTTTCAGTTGCCTTTCCAAAACTCATATATTCTTAATTAAATTTAGAACTAGATAGTGCTCTCCAAAAATTTTTAGCTTGTGTTTTCTTTCAAAATCACAAAATGGCCACACAGTCATTCAACTAGTTCTGATATTTAAAAATAAAAGACTTGATATTAAGAAATATAACCATGATTCCAAACTAATGCTGATGTTGCTCAGCTTGAATATCTCAACCCAATCATTCATATAAATACCAATATAGAAAATACACATTGAATAGTCCTAATTACTAACAGCTAGCAGAAGCAAATCCATAAATCTAGTATTTGACAACTTATAGCAATAGTGAGACCAACACTTAATGCTTTTAGGCAATCTGCAAAATAGCAATTTTGTTTAACAAAAGTGGACTTTGTTAAGATTTTGAATGGCCAAATTATATCCGGTGCTAATTCCATACAGATGCAGCAATCATCTTTTTTCAGAAGTCATCAAATGAAGATGTTTTCTGGGGTATTTTTTACTACTTTTATTTTTAAGCTATTGATAACATAGCATAGTAGCAAGATTACATTAGGAATGTAATATAACACAGCTCTTCCCATTGAAGCTTTAGACCTCTCTCCCCTAGGCTGCTTGAAGCGTTCACCCTGTTGCACTAAGGTATATCTGTGACACCTCAACTGCCTCTCCTGGTGGATATAAAAATATTGCACTACATTAATGGTATATTTTACAAATAACATTAGCAGCATCACTGAGCCTTCCGTAATTGTGGTTCTACATAATTTAAAAACTTTTTTTTTTAATGAAACGAAGTTTTGCATTATTTCTACAGCTCTTTCAAATGCATCAGTTTCAGCAGCATGCTTGGATGTCACTAAAACTTCCATGATATAATCCATAAATACAGCCACTTACAAACACTCCGTCTTCCAGGTTATCAATGGTAAGTTATTTCTTTATCTTTTGATAAGATGGAAGTTGGTTATTACACTGGGCAGGCTGTTTCAAGCTTATGTTACAGAACAATTTAGCTTCCAGAGAATTTTGTTTTTGTATATAAAGACATATAGGAGTATTATTTTAAAATGCAAGCATGCTTATTAAATAACAAAATGAGGGATATACACAGATATATTTTGTTGTAAACTTGGCCAAGAAAGTTACTTAGTTTGCTATATTTCACTTAATAAGAAGATAGCAGGAATGAGAATTGGCTATTGATTTTAAAAGTGGAACAACTTTTCTATCTTCAGAATTGCTTTTATCACCCATATACATCCCCTTTTTTGAATAGATTTTTACTATTCAGAGCACTTTTGCAGTCATGCTACTGTTTTCCTCACACCAATCCTGTGACGTAGTTAGACAAAATATGTTTTCTACCAGCATGGAGCCCTTTTTGTGGCTTGCCTGTGGTTACACAGTTCAGTAATGGCCAATGGAAGAACACTTGTATGGATTCCTAGGCCAGAATTCTATTTTGACATCCTTTCAGATTACACTAAGTCTTTTCCAGCCAGCTATAAAAGCTGTTCCATCTAATTTTAAATTCATGTCAGTTTCACTGTCAATTATCATAGTAGTTATCTACAAAAGGGAGAAAATACACACAAATCTAGTTCATATAGGCATAGAAAAAGTTAAAACTTCTATGGTACCAACAGAGGTCATGCTCACATGTCTTCCCTCAGCAATGCGTTACTGGGATCCATGCGACAGACCGAGTATCAGAGTAGATCTTCATTTTCAGAGAACTGGTCCCAATTCCTATGTATACTGTCTATTCTCTCTCTCTATTTTTAATGAATGAAGACAGTCTGAGCTGAGAAGCACTCAGAATGATCACCATTCCTTTAAGCCTGCAGGATGTCAGACAAAGCAATACATCAGTTTTACACGACTCCTCTCCTTCACAAAATTACCCTGCATGAAAATGTTTCTAAAACAAAACAGCAAAACCCAGATATCTACATGGTTATTTTAAGAACAGTCTTCTGAAGCTTCCACATGCTTTATTTCCTATGGCAGAACTGAAGATGAAAAATTATCAAAGTGTTTAAACTTCCATCTAAAACGAAAGCATCAGCATTTTGAAAGATTATATTTCAAATTCGTAATGGTTATTACAGTTTGTTTTTCAGTAATCTTGTCCTCGCTACAAAACTCTTGACCAACTGCATTCTATACTTCCTATTATGTCATGTTTTTCAATGCAAGCTCCTCAAGTTAATCACTATATTGTTCCTATACTTCAACTTTACAAAAACTTTCAAAAATATTCACAGAAGCACAGAAAGCAAGCAATATATGTAAAAAAAAATTTTTTTACTGAAGCTGCAGCATCTGCTTTTGTGTTACATTTGGCAAAAGCAAAACAAAAAACACCCCCCAAAGCCCTAAATTAAGAAAAATGTCAAGCAAGTAGAGATGATAAACTTTGTAACATAAAGTAAGATTCAAAACCTGTTCCCTCAATGATTGTTGTAGTCAGTTCAGGCATGCAGCAAATTTCTTGTCATAGTCATGATGGAAATGAAAATATTTCAAGAATCTGTAGATATTCTATTTAACACTAATTCAAAAAACTACGAGGAAAATAATGAGACATTACACATACATAAACATGAAAAGTTAGCTTACGTAATTACACGATTAGAAAAAGTTAAAAATAAATTAGTAAAAATAAATTCCCAGTGTAAACTCAAAAAGCATAGCTATAAATGCAATCTGAAACAACCAATGTAGTGAACCGGTAATGTTTCTGCTAGAAAACTATCTCATTTTTGTTCTTACACAAGCAAATAATTGTGGAGAAGCAGGCCGAAGTGCAAGAGGGCTTAACATGGTGGCATCTGTGCTACTTCAGATGCACCTTTTCCTCAATCACTTGAAAATTTAAACAGACTTGTTACACAGACTCAGATGGGCCGAAGAGGTCATCTGACATGCTGCTGAATGGCTGACCCTCGATTAGTTGGCTTAGTTCACTATCAAGATCTTCTTCTGTATCATCTGTATACTTGCTCATTTTTTTGGAGGGCTGGTCTAACGACAGACTTTCTAAAGATTCCATATCTTCAATGCCTGCTCTGTAGTGGATCATAAGAAGTGTTAGAGCTTGTAGTCTTTCACCTGATTTAGCCAAAGCAGCCGAGAGAAGTGATTTTTTCCTTGTATCAGTTGTCTCTTTTTCTTCTCTAACAAGGGAATTATTATGTTCCAGCTCCTGATCAATTTCATTCTGTAGTTTATCCAGCATAAACTCTAGTTTCTGAATCCTTTCCTCTGTAGGGAGACCCCTGTACAGGTCACGGCCAATTTCTTTGACTGCAATGAAAACACTGTCATCCAGACCTCCCTCCTTTCTCATTAACTTTATCCCTGTGTTGTTTCCCCGTTTAGAAGGACTGTTTGGACCACAGACCTCTGTGTCACTGCCTTCGTTGTCGGATGTGTTGGGTGTGTGTTTTGGTGAGGGTTCTACTAGATCAGTTCCTGGTTCAGAAAGGCGAGTTTTAGAGACTTGACGCAAATTTAACAAACGAGAGCTAGTATTGATGATATGTCTTGTCAAACCTGTTGTTTTATTGACTGATTTGCTAGTTTCAGCATCCACACGAGGTGGCAGGCTCAGGAGGCTTTCTTGCCCTTCCAGCCTGAGGTTCTTCAGGGTCCGGTCTAACCGCCTATCAGTTGCTCCACAAAGGGGAGTCTCAGTTAGACACTTTTCCTGACATTTTTTATGGCAAACGTAAGCACAGAACATACACTGGGAAGCAGCTTTAGTCCAAACTTTTTTCTTACAGTAATCACACCAAGTTGGGTTCTGGAACTGAGTATCCTGGAAGCTGTGTTTATTTTCTGCGAAACCCACCTGCCCAACAAGCTGTTCCTCTTTAGGTAGGGGAGAGAGCTCTTCGACCAAATGGAGTTCTTTTTCTTTCTCTACGTTAGTAACTGTCTGGTGGGCTGCTTCTCCTTCTTTCAAATATTTGAAGTGAAGAGTGATGTCACCAAAGCAAAATTTGTCATTGAATCCCTTTTGCATACTCAGATTGCGCAGTGCAGTTCTGCTGACCATAGCCTTTGGCGACGGCGCTTCCAGCCTGAATTTGGAAAGGTATTCCATATTTGATGTCGCCAGGCATCCTAAAGCCACTTCTTCAAGTTTTAAACTAACATGTCCTAAACAGATGAGACCCCCTAATTTGAAAGGATCCCTGCACCACAGTGCAATGTTTAAGTATCTGTGACAGGCTTCTATGTCAAAGACACAGGTCGCTCTGGTTCTTGTCCACTTCCCTAGCTTATTCCGGTAAGGAATTTCTGGCGATTCCCAAGTCTGAGGGTCATCAGAAGCATCTTTAGCAGGGCAAGAGCTTTCTGATATACAATCTTTTGCCACTTCTTGCTTTGCTAAAAACTGCTTAGGTGTACCTGTATCTTCTACATGATCCATATTTTTTGCTTGCTTCTCGGATTTATCTGCTGCTGGAGGAGGTAGTACCTTCTCTGGTTTTTCAACAAGAACATCTGGTTCTGCCTGATTTGGGATGTCAGCAGAAGGCAAAGAAACTTTCACTTGTGGTCGTGGTGGCACAGGTGGTTTGAAAGTGGATCCTTGAGTGGATTTTGACACTTGTGCTGGGTCCGTTATCTCAGAAGTTTTTAGGGTTAAGGGTTTATTTCCTTCCTTGGATGGAAGTTTTGGTAGTGGTGGGTGACTTCCAGCAACTAATTTGCGATTTAAAACAGGTGATATAGTTCCAAGGGGCTTCACAGAAAGTGTGGTCGGCGTGCGTTTGGGACTATGACTTATTGACTGTGTGTCATCTCTGAACTCATTTTGTGCTCTAACATCACTTGCCAAGTCTTCAAATTCAGAATCTAGATCTTTGTTTTCAGCATCTACTGCCAAGCCAGCTGTTTCCTCTTCATAATTTGTTTGGCATGAGCTTGACGGAAAGTTTTCTTCTAACTGTCCCAAAGTATCTTGCAGCACTGCACCTTGATTGCTCTGGCCAACAGGTCTTTCATAATATACCAGCACTCGGTCACCAGCCTGCTTGATAAGTTTCAACACTTGCAGTGTAGATGTGATTTTCACACCTGTTTTAAGATTTTAAAAGGGAAAATATGTAAATTACTGCAATAAAAAATTAGTTAAATTTGCTAGATATCATTGCTATTACTCACGATCATTTAAGTAATGAAAAAACAATAGGGAAACTTCCAATATAGATTATTTGACTTTTGGATGCATCAGTGTACTGATTCTCAAACCCTGAATGAGCTGGTATCCTGGAAAGGTTCCTCTTTTCAAACCAAATGATTACATGAAACTCCACAGATTCTGTTGCAGGCTTCTAGCTCCTAATAACTTCTCATCTCTTTCATCCCTGCCATTATTTTTCAGTTTGAATGGAGGAAATGAGCAGAGTGGGAAATAGGAAAGGATTTTAAGATTAAACTTGACTTTAGAATGAAACTTTGATTCTATTGAAGGAAATGCTAAAATAATCCAGGGATTATAAATTAGGCAATGAATGATTCAATTAGGAGGCCAATACGTTTAGCAAAAGACTACACTATGAATAATGGATTCTTTTACAGATTCCTATTATTAGCTCTACTCATCAAACTAATCTTTTTTAGAACTGGAAAAAAAGGAAGGCATCAACTGCTTCAAAGTTCAACAAGATGGTTACTATCTGCATATATATCAGTAATATCGAAAATTTCATTATTTTCTAATATGTGCTACATTAACATAGTTCAAAATTCAACAGGAACAAAAAGATGCACACACACACACACCCTCTGTCTCCTAGCCATACTGTCCCTTTCCTGAGGCACTCAGAGCTAAAAGCGTGTGTGTTCTACAGAGATTCTAGGTGTGCTATCATTTAAAGGTTGTATGTCTCCTGCCCTCTCCCACCCTCCCAAAGACAGTACTTACCCAAGCTATCCCTTTATGTAGGACTTAGAGAAAGGTGAGAAGGGGTCTTTGCTTCCCACAGGTCTTAGGCCCATCCTAAATAAATCAAAGTAACATCAGCCCCCATCTAATAACCTGGCTTCAGCGTTCCTCAACTTCCACCCTCTTCTACTTCAACTGCCTGGGCGAGATCATGTGTTAGACCTGTCTGTCACGTGGGATATAGCCACATCAAAGATTTTTCACTTAGAAATTAATCTGATAATAAGCTCCTATTTTTCACCCTTACAATCCCATCTGGTAACTGGATGTGTTCTGAGGGAACTTCCATGTCCCGTCACTCCTTCTGTGCTCTCAAGGTTCCCACTCCTGATGTCACTTGTTTTTCTCGCTTACTTAGATTTCCAGATTTCAGTGATGCTTTCCTCAAACGTTTGCTCTCCAGCTCTAGCTCTTTCCACTTCTTCTGTCTACCTATCTTTCTGCTCTCCAGCTTTGTTAAGCCCCACCATCTACTACCTGAACCGGGCACCAAGGTTATCTTTTTATTTTCAACATGGTGTTCAGCATTGCTTTGGCATTCATTTGCTTTCTCCAAACAGCTGTGCTTCCAGAACACCAGTTCAACCCTTTTCTATTGCCCTGAAGCCCTCCCTCCCTACTCTCTTTTACACTATAGATGAATCATCTTATTTTCTAACAAGATCAACAAGAAGCCACTTTCTCTCCCTGCCAATCATTTTTAGTATGATTCTATCAGAGAAGATAAGATATATCCCTTTACATGGACTTTGGATCTTACTGTACCCCACCTGCTTCTGGACTTTGCTTCTTTAATTATTCTTGCCTATTTATTTTTCTCCTTTCCTTTGCCTTGGTTTCCACGACACTGTACTAATTTGGTTCTGTCTCACCTTTCTTTTCTTTGTCATCATCTACACCTGCCTTTTAAACACAAATGTTCTCATGCTTTTGCCTGTCAGTTCTTTCAGCTCTTTTCTCTAATCACTTCAGTAGTTTCGACCTCCAACTTCTTTGGTTTGTCTCCACTTCACTGTAGTTTTACATTCACAACCCCTTCTGGATATCACCATCTTGATGCTTCTTTGGTGCCACAAATTCAGTGTAGATAAAAGTCCTCGCTGCCAGTCTCATTCTCCTGCCCTCACTAGTCCATGAATCAACTAGTCACTCTCCCAGTATACCAAATTGAATCCTGGAGAAAGATGACTCCATTCAGCTGTCAATTCTCACTTGGAGTCCTAGTCCATTTTCACTCCCTGTTCAGAACCTCTTAATCACTGGCTTTAATTAACAGACCTTCACTATTTTCCCTCACTCAAACCTTACTTATTTTAATCACCAAACACACTGCTCCCCAGTTTTCCTAAAGCTGTGTCTCAAAAACCATTAACTCACAAACTCATCACACTGAAATCCAGAGTTTTCTAAAGAAGTTCTTTATGATTCACCCAGCACTATTACTTCTCTCTAACTATTACTTCTGTTACTTCTCTCTAACTATGTCCCAGCAAAACTGTAGTTTGACATAGGCATAAATGAAAAATAAACCCAGCTAATGAGCTCTAGTAGGCCAAAACAACTCATTCTAAACCCCTTCTTTGTGACTTAACTCCTGCCTTCATCTCATCACTTCCCTGACTACCAGGAAATTTGTAGAGATGCCCCTCTGCCTCTGAGGACTGGATGGCCAAATTTGCATTTCTTTCCTTTCGGAATATTTCAAAAATATATGTAAAAGTTGAAGAAGCAATAAAAGCTTCAAATCACTGAGCTTCAAATATAACAAACATTTTGGTGCAATCTTAATTTCTGCTATCACCAATGCTATTACTAAATATTTTAAAAAATATTTTATCTCCATATAAACAAATTATAGCTATTAAAAAATACATGTGTATACCTACTCTATCAAATTACTTTTTTTCTAAGTGTTAGATATGAAGGATAAGTGATTTTTCATTCTGTATATATTTACATTGCTTGAATTTATTTTTAGTAATATATAGTTACTACTTGTGTAAGTGAAAACAAAACTTTTCAAAAAAGGATGTAAAAAGAAAAATTAACTTCATGCTGTAGGTGAAACCAAAACAGGGTATGTGTGGACATAAAAAATTTATACTGAACTGTGGTTTTTAGCTGAGGAGGAATACTTCTTAACGTCTATGTTAAGCAACTGAGTAACAGATGAGGTCTATTTTATGCCTTCCCAGCCTCAAAATCTATGGACCAATGGCAGCATCTGAGAGCTTGTTTGGTATAGAATCCTGAGCTGCAGCACAAGATCTGCTGGCTCAGGATTCACATTTTAATACATGTATGGGTTCTTGGAATATACAAGAAAAGTTTGAGAAGTGCAATTTATGACATAATCAGGGATTTCTATATAGAAATGTTGACTCAGTTGGGTTCCAAGGTATGCAACTAAATAAGTTTCCTTAGTTTATTATTATGATGGATTTGAATCAAAGACAGAGTTTCTTTGACATATATCTAAGGATAACTGCTTGTTGGTTCAGGAACTGATCTTTCATTTATTGTGTTCGCTGTAAGAAGACACACCATTCTGCCCTTAGAAGAGCACTGTGCTCATCCACGTGTTCAGAAAATCCCTTGACAAACTTAGAACATGTGGACCAGATGCTACAAAGGTCTGAAAAGGTTTGGATTTTTACTTTTTATATTTTTTTGTTTTTAAACATCTTTGTTTATTTTCTCACATTATAGGATTTCTCCATTTTTACCCCATTGGTGTGCAGAGTAGAGTCCTAATGCTTAGTCACAAACACCCAAGGATATAACATGACTATCTACGGAGTTTTTGTGGTCAGCAATCCAATTTGCAGGAAGAGATGCTAGTGACATATTTTCCTTCCAGCAACAGTGAATTAGGCTGCACTATGAATGACAACATATGAATAAATGGCTGGTCATTAAGAGACAATATGGGGCCACCAATATAGGGAGTAACAGGATAGTTCAAATACCCTCCTGGATAAGAACTATTATTCTCTCCTGTTCAGTACCTAGTCCTAAGCGATAGGGGTAGTAGTACTAACACAATCGATTTTAGGCCCCAGGTAGTGACGATGGTGGTCATACAGAAAGGGTGACTGTTTTCTTGCCCTTCTTTCACATTCAATAAAAATTAGAGGAGTAGTAGGTGTGAAGGAAAGAAAAATTAGGGAAGTTACAGAAAAGTAGTAGAAAGCACTATAGATTCATCGATTATGACTAAAATGACATGTGTTTTAAATTTAGTTTTTAAGGCTTCAAGATTTTTATAACAAAGTTATTACTTTCTTTCCATTATAAAAGTAACATGTTTATAGAAACAAAGGAGGAAGAGAGGAAAAACTCCTGCATCTATTCTCTGTAAAAGTAAAGTATACCGCATACTACTATAATTACCTCCAATGGCAATTAGTCGATCTCCTCGTTGAAGATCAGCGATTGCAGCAGGCGAGTTTGGGGCCACAGTCTCAATTATGACATGTCCAGCATACCCGTCGGTTGACTGGACAAGACGAAGTGTAAGCCCAACACTCTGTAAATTCCCCTTTATTAATTCAACCTTTGGTAAGGAGGAAAAAAATGAAAATAGATTCAATAGTTTCATAGCAGTTGGAGAGAGGACAGTAACATGCTGGAACACTACAACTGTTGCTGACTTCTGCACCATGGTCACTATTATTCCAGATAAACAAAGAAGGGAGGAAATGTTTATTATAATAATCTTTTTAAAGTAACATGCTCAGAACGCACACTTGGACCTTCAAAACAAACATTGTCTTAACATCAGCGTGTCTTATTAAAGATCCATGCTCATCATATAATAGAACATTTGGAAATAAACACAAAGGCAAAATGAAACTACTCCTAATCACCGTATCTAGTACTGTTATTGTACTTTCTAGTATACACAGCATATGTATTTTAACACAAAATTGAGATCCCATTATGAATATAATTCTATATCTTGCTTTTAAAAAATATGATGGGAATAAACTAAATCATCAGATGTGCTCTGAACTTCTTTTATGGTTTACTGTTAAATTTTTTGTTAGGAGGGGCAAAGGACAAGAGTTTACATTTCTGTGTGATGAAGAGTTATCTTGTTAGTGAGATATCCTATTATAACTCATCAAGATCATTTGTTTTCTAAAAAATTCCAGCCAGTTTAATCACATATTATCTGTGAATTAAAAAGCACACACACAACACATGCTATTTGTCTTTGAGTCACTGACTGAAAAAAAAAATAGAAAGGACAGAATGCCACTTCTCTCTAGAAGACAAGAATTCAATCTCTGTTTATTGAGCTAACTTACAAGTCAGTCTAATTGTATTATCAACCAGTCCACATTTCTTAATTCTGTTCTTCAAGAATATCTCATAAAAAACTCTGCTAAATAACCTAATATCCAAATAATATCACTGCCTATATTGCACTAATATATAATTCTCACTTAAAAGCTAGAAATCCAATACTACCTATTAATATTGGCTAGTGAAAGAGCCCTTGCTGTTCTTTAATATGGGTGTTAATAGATTTTTGTAAATTTGCTTTTAGAATTACGGAGAAATGGGAAATATAGTCAAGTTTTTGATTAAAGAACCAACCAAAACAGCCCTTATGAAAACCATCATCTGTCTTTAAACTTCCAAAAACATTTGTCCATATTCTTGCCTTATGCTATAGTAAATACCTTATGTTAAAAATGGTTTTCAGTTAACAAAAGCTTTTAAGAACACATTCTCTCAAATTCATGAACATAGTGCCAAAGGTAAAATTTAGAATGCAAATTTTTCTAATATCAAAAATTTAACAGCAGCAAGTGTGAAAAACCAAATTGCGTGAGTCTGACAAACCAAATTGTGTAAGCTAACTGGCTGGACTTGGAATGTGTTCTTTGTGATTTTCTGTTTGTTCCTGAAGTGGAATGGAGGTTGGAGAATGGAGTTACGAAAGGAATCAAGGCTAAACAGGTTTTAGTGTAATTAGGTTTCTTTATTTACTGCCTACAAATCACATACTTGCTTTGCTTTTCTTACTTCAAGTAAATCTTTTTTTTAAAAAAATATTTATTTATTTATTTTTACAAGCACTGGGTACAGTCAGAAGCGCAGGAGGGTGAGAGAATTCACCAGAGCCAGAGCGGGGAACAGAACAGGCAGACTTGAAGAGGTACACTGCTGAGGGGAGCAGCGGGCGGCAGGAGAGGTCTACGCGCCATGTGGGACCCTCGCCCAGAGGCCGGGGATCGAACCGGTGCTGCAGAGGTCGCGAGCAGCTTCGCAAACCAGCGCTCAACCGCTGTGCCACCGGGGAGGCCCACTTCAAGTAAATCTTGATGTAAACTTTCCAGATGGAAGAGGAGGTAAGGTTTTTAGAAGGAATAATTAATAAAGGCAAATATAACCCCCCCCTCCCATTTTTACTACTGTTAGAACAGATGCTCTTAATCTTATGCTTATACAGGACAGAACTTAAGATACTATCTTCACTTCCTTTTTTGTAATAAGCTAGTTATTTTTCTTTTAAGCGCACACTGAAACAAAAACTTAAAAATTAAGTTCTGACAGCGATTCAAATGTTTTAGAGTATTAAAACACCTCTTAATTAAAAGCCTGAAAAAACAAAGCTGGTAAAATAACAAAAATGTTATTTTAATGTAAAATTTAAGATGAGGTTATAAGATCATCCAAATGAGTCATGATTTTGAAACAAATCTGACATCTCCATTGGAAGCAAAAACACACACAGACATAGGTTGCGTGCTGTCAATTCCAACAACATCACATACTAACTTCTGTCCTCACAGAAACTCAGGTGGATGCTTTTAAGTTCCATCAAAATCTAAGTGTTACCCTATTCCAAAAAATAAGATAGAATTAAGGCAAAGTTAACATCTATAAATCTTTGCAAACAGTGAACATTTGCTTTTGTTTCTTTTAGAGAACAAGGAAAATCTGTTTCGACAGTGTCCCAAGTGAGGATAGAGATTTCTATCACAACACTATCCCCTCTTAAACAGTCATCTGGAAACAGCTATAGAATTTGTCTCTAAATTTAGGCCAAATCCCCAAATCTATGGCTATCTATGTAAGCTATGTAAACTCCAAGGTCCTGAGGCCATTGAGAGCACAGGACCCTACTTTCCCCACAGGTTGGAAGCACTGCAATTAATAGCTGCATACTTACTGGTTAGCACTACTGTGGAGAACACCTAAACTAAACTCCAAGACAGGTATGCAAGGTGTAATGGGAATGTGGGGCAAGTAAAAACTGCTCTTGGGTGAATGATTCTGAGAAGCTTTTCCGTAAGGAGATGGCATTTAATTTATGTCTTAAATCATGAGAAGAATTTGAGCTTAATCATGGTTAAAGTGGAGGGTGTGGGATGGGCAGGAGTGGTTACCATTCTAGACCATGGTGAGAGTGTTAGAGCAGAGATGGAGACACTTCTCAGGGCACATCAGAAAATTAAAACTATCATCAAGATTGTCAACTGACATTTAATAGAAGTGAAAATTCCTAACTCACTTAGAACAGAACATGTTTTACTGGGAAATAGCAGTAGCATCTCATAGGACATCTCATAGAATCCTACATATTCTGATTATCTTAAAAAGGTCCTCCAGGGCCTCCCTGGTGGTGCAGGAGGTTAAGATGCAACCTATGAAGCTATCTGCAGCCACTGCAGCACGAGTTCAATCCCTGGCCAGGGAGCAATCCACATGGCGCAGCAGACCTCTCCTGTCTCGCCTGCTGCTCCCCTCAGCAATGTATGTCAGTCTGCCTGTTCTGTTCCCCACTCTGTCTCTGGTGAATCCTCTCACCCCAAACCTTTGGCCTGTACCCCAGCTCTTAAATGCATAAATAAATAAATCTTAAAAAGTCCTCTAATATATTAACTTGCAATATATTATATATATGTATGTAGTTTGCAAAATCTATTATCTGTTTACTATAAACATGTTCCTTAAACATGTACCTTGTGGCATTACTAATATTTTATAAAAGGAGAAATGAAATTAATAATACTTATTGAACACTTACTATATGTTTGGCAAAACATATATTAATGCTTGCCAACCTCCCCTCTCTTTGAGTGTCTCTGCAATCCCCCAACCCCCAGTGCAATGAGTGGGAACATGGCTCTGCTGCTCTGCCTCATTTGATGGTTCAGGGGCACACAACTGACCCAGCTGGACCCATCAAGAGATCCTTCCTGAACTGTGGAAATTCACATTCAGAAATTCCTTGAATGGACTAAACACAAATATAACTGTAGGCATCTGTGTATCTTCATATTGTTTGGGAAGTAAAAAAAGCCAGTCTGCAGAGCAAAGAATAAAGCACATAAATAGTCAGGAACAAAGAAGACAGAGAGAGGCCTGGCAGTGGTTTAGTTCTCTGTTCTGAATTTATTTCTAAGGCTTGGATGCACTCCTGCTTTAATATGTGGCTCTAACTCTGACAAATATGAACAGAGGCCCTGACATCTGCCCATAGGATCCATGAAACGCCCTGGTATCCTCCGAGTAAGTATCCCTTTTTGCTTAAGTTCGTTTTAGTGGGTTTCAAACATGATCTTGCTTAGCAGGTATTGTATTACAGTGTCATACAATATTACAGTAGGGCCTCCCCGGTGGCGCGGCGGTTGAGCGCTGGGTTGCGAAGCTGCCCGCAGCCTCTGCAGTGCCGGTTCGATCCCCGGCTGCTCCCCGGCCACCGGAGGAGGGTCCCACATGGCGCGCTAGACCTCTCCTGCCGCCCGCTGCTCCCCTCAGCAGTGTACTTCAGTCTTTCTGCCTGTTCTGCATCCTGCTCTGACTCTGGTGAATTCTCTCACCCTCCCGCGTTTCTGACTGTACCCAGTGCTTGTATGAATAAATAAATAAATAAATAAATAAATAAATATTTAAAAAAAAAATTACAGTATACCCAATGTGCTGTATTTATTAGAACGTAGCTATTAAAATGTAAAGTTACAAGTGAATTACAAAGATAGAAAGAATGTAAAGTGTTTTCTCTGTGGCTTAGCCTGCATCAACTGATCCGCATTTTGTTGAAAACAAAAGGTAAATTTCTACTGAAATAGAGATACCATTCCAGTAATTTTTATATGACATAGAAGAAAGTAGTTTATCAATTGTTTAGAACTGCTGACAGATGCTGACTAAATAGCAATTACATGACAGCTCATCACAAGTAATACATACAAGATTGCAGACAGCCTACATTTAACTTCATCAATAATGTCAGGCACAGGTTTAAAATTTCTAGCAGTATGTGCATCTATCCGTGGAGTGCAATTTAGTAAAAACACCAAGATAGCCTTTAAGAGCTCTGATACTCTGACATCCTTTTAGCCTTGTGGGGCCCAGCTGGGATGCCTTACTTTTACCTGGGGGGAAAACAACATATTGATTTTTTAATCTTTTCCTAACATGGACATAATTTTACAGAACGAGTAAGAAAGAGGATATATTTTAATAACACTTTGATATAATTCTTTTATTTTACAAACGGTTCTTTCCTACGTGAGCTCATAACACGGAGAAAAA